TGTTGTGCAGATGGTACTTTTGGGAGGCCATTTTTTGATTTTCCAAGAGGTTTTCATAATATCTGGGAAAACCTAAGATAAAACGTAAGAAAAACGGGAAATTTACGAAAATAATATTTTTATTATTTTTCAATTTTGTTATTTATTGTAATTAGGTTAAAAATATTTGTAGAGATTTGAAATTTGGAAAGAAATATTATATTTGTCTTTTCTAAACGGTATAAAATTTTCAAATTGTTGAGGTATTTATAGACATTTTAATTTTGAAAGTTTAGTACGTAATATATATTGGGTAGGTACTCTGTGGTAAAATTGTTAGACTAGAACAGAAATGTTTCGAAATTTAACAGAAGGTTCATTGAGAGTCTTAATTTGTGGTAAAAAAAGAATATTGCGTTTAATGTAGTATTTTTTTATAAGGGAATTTTAATATCTAATTTTGACGAAAAAATTATACATATTATATTGTCGATTTAAGAACCATAGTGAAGTCATAATTAAGCAGAATGATTAAGTTTCGAAATTATAGCTTTTTGAAGTTTTGATATTATGCAGATATTATATGTTATGTTAAAGAACTCATATTATCTTTTTTAAAGCATATTTGTCGTGATCTAATGGTTATTGCCTATTATCATCCTAGGGGTCCAAACCAGTGTGACGAAAAAAAATTGTTTTCCTTTTTTCCTATTTACTTAAACAAGGAAAAAACAAATATATTTTAGATGTACCTAGGACCCGAGCCTATGCTCCCTCGAACCATTTTAATCGTAAAATACCCCTCGATTTGCCATGCAAACTTTTCTACCAGAAATCTTGCTCCGATGTATCAAGTGTGGCTTATTTTCTGAAAGGAAATTTTATCTCCATGATAATTTAGAGAAGTCGTTTATTGATTTTTCAAGTGGTTTTCATAATATCTGAGAAAAACCGGGATAAAATGTCGGAAAATCGAAAACTGTTCGAAATGTAGGTATTATGTAGGTAAACAAATATTATGGCCTTTTTTTCTGTGTAAAATTTTTCTACCAGCAATTTCGCTTCGATTTAAAATGATAGCACTTTTTTGTACGGAAATCTACTATGTTTAGCCCTAATCCTCTCACTACTTCATTGAGAAGCTATCAAATGAGAAACGGATTTATCACTTCCTTGACTTTTTCCTTCAATATTTATAATAACACTAATTTTTTAAACGTTTATATATATATAAAAAAAAAAAATAATAATAAAAATAATGCAAATAGCATATATTGATTGTTGAAAAATTAGTCTTACCCCTTCCATAATAAAATCATTTTTACCGCCTTTGCCTCCAGTGAAAATTTTTGCAGGGTTTGTACGACAGCGAATATATACGCGCGTTATTCTATTTCGCGGTTCTAATACGAAAATCATAATATTAAGTTTTGTTGTTTAATTGTGTATTATTGAATATATAAATCAATACTGTAACAAAACCGAACCGGGGGAAGATGGTTTCATAATAATAATAATAATCATAATAATAATAATAATATATAGGTACGATCGCCGGAAGGAACCTCTTTAAGATAATGTACCTCGTTTATTTATACCGTTAATGTTTCGAACGATAATTGCGAGTATAGCGTAATAATAACGTACCGCAACATTGACGGGCGAATAATAACGCGTAGGCAAAGTACTTCTATATCATTATTATTATACCTATATTATTATCATCACAACAGCAATTGTGTAAAATGTGACGCGTCGAAATTCGAATTCATTATTATCATTATTATTATTATTATACTCATATTTTAGATTTGCGGCGAAATCGGAAAAGTATCTAAATTATTAAACACATACCTATATTGCGCGAACCGATACAATTATTTAATATAATCGAAACGGATTCTGACACTGAGATATTATGCGCCATTTAATACCTACCTACTTTTGTTTGTAATTTATTTCCTACAGTCTAGGTACTTACACTGATGTATAAGGCCGCTTAATATTATCGCAGTTTAATAATTCGTACGAGCAATGAACTGTTATATTTATGTACGAGTATCGCATGCGTTACGTAAACCGATAAACTGAGGAATTGACGTACATATTATCATTACACGAGAAAATAAACGTGCGAAAATTAAGGAAAAATCGTATTAAATGATATTAGGTATTTACACGTTTAGTCAAATGTGTCAAGCATAATAACTCTGGCTATTATACCTATGTGCTTTGAGATTCTAAATGAAGTAGGAAATCTATTGGTTTTACAATGATGTTTATTTATTATTTCTTTTGTTTATACTGTGTACAAAATTATTACCAGAATCTTGGTAAATCTTGGCAATATCTTGCTTCTATGCATCAAGCTTAGCATATTTTTTGAAAGGAAATTGTATCTAGTTGCATTCTTTTATGGAGGTTTTTTTTTTGATTTTCCAAAGGATTTTCATAATAATTGTGAAAAATCGGGAGTAAACATAAAAAGAACGGGAAAATTTACAAAATGTGTTATTTTCAATTTATGTTTTTTTTGTTGAGATACAGTTACAAATATTCATAGGACTTGAAATTTAGACAGAAAAATTATATTTTTATTTTCTAGACGTGGTCAAATTTTCAAAACCTTTATGCCATTTTTGAGTTATTTATAGACATTTTAATTTTACGAGATTTTTATTCGTTATGTACTCTGTGAATACAATTTTTAAACTGAGCAGAGATGCTTGGAAGTTTAACAGGGGATATATTATAAGTCGTACCTAGTGGTTTTAAAAAAAAAAATCGAGTGTAATGCAGTGTGTTTTTTGTTATAAAATTTTAATATCAAATTTTGACGAAAATCGTAAATACTACGGCATTTCAAAACATGTATGACCGAACTTCGCTCAGAATCGTTTTCCGTTAACAAAGATTAACCGTTGCGTACAGAATATACATTAAATTCCCTTTTATATATTATATCCTACCTTACCAACTTTTTACATCGTCGTGCGAAGTAGGTCGATCTTTTTTGTTCTAGTTTAAACCGATCTATACCTATATGGTGTACAATTCATTTGTACTTACCTTTAATTGTCGATTTAACGATATTACAATTTACCCGGCAACCATACATTATAATATAGGATACATCACATTTATATATTATATTACGTTTTTATCGACCGCGGTGTACAAGGATAAAAAAATTGAACTACTACGCTATATTACACGTCGCAATAAAATGTTTGGAGGTACATTAGGAATATTAAAGTGTTTTCGAACGGAAACATTAGTGAAATCGGCGAAATTACATTTTATGATGTGAAACTTAAAATGATAAAAGCTCTTGTTTAAATAGAACAAAAAGGTATAGCAGAGGAAAAGAGAATTTAAATTTTAATGGTATACTCGGAAAATGTTCTGAAAATATGAAACAAATAATGCGAAATAAAACTAAACAAGGACATCTCGTAACTGATTTTTGCGTTTTTAATAAATATTCGGGGTAGGCGATGAGGGTACGGGTGTGTGTTGTGTTTGTGTGCAAAGCAAAGCGCAATTTGTTCTAATTAACGACTTGCTCCGTTAATGAAAAAAAAAAAAAAATCGTTTTATTGCTACTGCATGTTTCCTCCCGCGGTAGTTTTGGATTTAATAAGCTATCGTCAGGCGAAAACAACATTAAAAATTAATGAAAGTGCGAATTCCCTTTGATATATACAATAATAAATAAAAGAAGAAACGCATCTTCAAACAAAACACAAGCACATCTGTTTAAAGTATAACAAAATTATTACGCGTTTGAACGTGATGCGCAATTTACGGTTAAATCATCGTTTGCGTTTCACCGTCGAGTATCTGACGTTTTTCATTACTTCATTTAATTTCCGACTGAACGATTTATTATTAAATGTAAATTCACTGAATTGTTATATCTATCGTAAACGATAAATTATTGTTTATTAATTGGGTACCTACGTAAAATAATATCGTGTCTCAAACATTTTTCGTTGCAATACTTTATTCCGGGCTGCTGACGTATACCCATCCATGTGATGATGGTTAAAAGTCACCATCCGTCAGTTTTATGTGATATATACAATGTATCATGTTATAATAGATTTCTAATATCAATATGAGTGATGTTAATAATATGACTTACATTTTATAAATGTATAAAATAAATTAAATCCTGCATTGTATGTTTACATAACGTAATTTTCTTTAAACATAATATTATGTACGAGTATATAACATTGTATAAATAATCAGTGATGTATTTATGATTTTGTCATAAGACAAGGAGATTGTACAGAAATTGTGTCATACATTGTGAAGCCCAAATAAGACAAAATGTTTATATTTTTGTAAACGATATAATTCAAACAGGCCTAAAATTAAAATTAAATAACTAAATTAGTAGTGGACAGTATAAAGTATTAGTTTATTTGGATAGGTACCTAATAATCGAAGACTATTGTGATGAATTCCATTTTATAACAATCGTTAATCATTACGTTCGGTTTTTGTTTTTTAATGTATGCCTACTTACACATTTATTAATTGTTTGACTGAATAATAAAAATAAAAGTAGAATTTAAAGAATATGTTAGGTAGATACCTACGTCTAGCCATATAAATATAATAGATAAAAAAAACAAAAAGGTCAAGGGGGCGATAGATAGCTAGAGAGGGAGATTAAAGAATCTCCCTCTCCTAAATGCGCCACTGTAAAATAATAATATATTATGTACCAGATATACCTATTTTTATTATGGTCTAATTTCATATAGTCGGTTCAATTTCTATACAATTATACTGCTATACGTCATTTTAATAGAAAAACTGTTTATGTTTTGTTCATTTTGTCTTATTAAAAATTAAATTGCAATCGATTTATATCGATTTATAAACGCATGCATTCGCTAAAACGGTACCGAGGTGAAAAAATATTTCATTGAAAAACGAATGCATGTCTTATAATATAATACAATAAAAACAGTCGTCATAATAATAATAATAATATTAAATTCGAATATAAATCCACAGATCAAAGTACGCTTATTTCGTTCCTTAATATTCATATTTCAGATTACGGTCATACGATCCGGTAACTACAGATAGGTGTTGTGTAGGTATTAATTGGTGTTTGCGACATGTTCCGCATAATACGTACAAACTGTGTTTACATATTACATATAATAACAATATTAAAACCATATAAAAGCAAAAAAAAAAAAAAAAAAAAAAAAAATGTAATTGGATAGTTTTTTTTCTTTTTTGTTATTATAATATTATGTACAAATGTGATATTATATTTTGTTCGGAATAAAAAAAGCGCGTGTATCTGTAAATAAGTTGGCACTCCAGTATTATAATATTATTAAGTAGGTATAGGTATCAGTAATAATAATGATTATTATTCAATAATTAAAAAAAACATATACACACACACACACACACACACACACACACACATACGTGTGTTCGATTGGCGCGTATTATATATTGTTTACTGTGAAATTGTATTTTTCACGAAAAATATTTGAATTGCTCGTGCCGGCTATAGAAAATAATTAAAATACATACGGTGCAATGTGCTTATGGTAAAATAACAAACATAATGTACCTGATATATAAGTATATATTTTTTTTTTGTTGAGCAAATAATACAGTACGTATATTTGAGTATGCTAGTAAAATAACGAAAACTATAAAAAACAATACGATAATGTTGCAAACAAATCGTATTTTATCCAAACCTTTTTAAGATCTTGCAAACGGAATATATTCGATATATTCCCGTTTGCTCAATTGATGGACCATTTTATTGTGTTTTATCTCGACGCCGTTTTCACGATTTTCTAAAAATGTTTTAACGAAAGAACGACTGTGTTGGCCGACATCGGAGCTTGTGAAAAAGTCTTCCAACTAGAGAACAAATAATAATAATAATAGGTATAACAAATAATAATGCAATAGACGATGGATGTCTATACATACTGTTTACGAATAAACTAGACAGGAATATGAAATGTGTATTACAAAAAAATGAATATTAGATACTTGTACGCCTATATATTATAGGTACATTATTTCCAGATCTATTTTTATTATTCAGTCGTTATCGTACGATTAATACATAGATATTGAGATTTTGGCAAATATTTGAATTAAAAATTTAAACGCGCATGAGTAATTGGTTAGTTTGAAACATTTATAAAAAAAAATTCCAGAATTGTTTAAAACTCTATTGTATTTTTTGATAAATAAAATAACAAGAATCTTGAACACCTTATTTGACATTGGTCGAATTATAGGATTTCATTTAAAATTTAAAGTATTTAACTTACATGCAATAAATGTATGGTTTTTCACATAGGATTAACATAGACGCTATTTTATTTTATAATTTCTGAGAACAAAACAAAATACCTATTCAAAGAATTTAATGATTTTTACATTTTCTTTTAAGAATAATGCACTCCTGCAATACGCAATATTATATTATGATTTATTCTATAAAATATAGATGAACGATATTACAAAATCAATATTTCTTTTTCAATATCAGAATTAAATATTAAAATTAATTACAATAGAATATTTATTTAAATTATAAAACTATTCCGATTAGATGATCGGGGCAATTTAAAATAACATCGTTTGAAAAATAATGATTTTATACAATTTGTGTTTGTTTTAGTTGAATACAAAAGTTTTAATGTTCGTAAAAATTTACCGGAATATTCATTTAAATACCCTTAAAACTTTGTATAGGTACTCTTGAAATATCGACTTTCGGGATGATACTTTTTTTTTTAGCATTCAATATAAAGGGATAATGCCCATTGAAGCAATCTAAAGTTAAGAGATAACGACCCAACGGAAAGTGTTAATTTGATAGATTAGCATCTGCAGTAGGATTAGGTAGGTAGGTAATTCAATTGTCGGAAGGGACCAAGAGGGTTATTAAAAAGTGTCATAAATCTGAAAGGGAGAAACGGGCTTAATGACATCACTTTTTTTTTTATTATTATTATGTTTTTTTTTAAAGCGTTCCCGTCGAAGGTAAAACAATTCTAAATTACCTTCATCCATTTGGCGTCTAATATCTCTTTATCAATCACAATGTCGAAAGTTAACGGTCGTAAGTTTGTGACGAAATACATATCAGCACAATCGAAACTTCCGCTTAAAACGTGCCGAAACGCCACTAAAGAGACGAATTCAGCCGTGATGCCTGTCTCCTCGAAAACTTCTCGAATAGCAGCATCGCCGATATTTTCTCCTAAGAGAAAAAAAATATAATAAAACGACAAAACTAAAATACAAAGGAATCAATGATAACAACATCTCTAAAATTCTGATACATGTTACTCAGGTTAATTTATTTAAAAAAACAAGTATTCAAAAAACAAACAAACAGAATTGTAAGTATCTCGTATACGTATCTCTTAGTGTCTTAAAATAATGAAATTATTTCAGAATTCTATGTTTAACGCTTTTCGACGAGTCTGATTTTTAAATTAAACTTGTCCAGATTTTTTTTTATAATGTAAGTTTATAGGTAATCCACTTTACAACTACTATCGTCTGTCGTAAATAATATTTATTTATCGGAACGCACGTGTGCGTGTTACTTTATAACCTTTATTCACGAAAATTGAAACGGAGTATAATATTTTTAGGTATTGTAAAAGAATATGCGTGTACAAATTATGGGTCAGTACATAAGCAGCAGTTTTAACAAAAAATATCGGATTTCGGGTTAATGTTTATTATATTATTAAAAAAAAAGAACACGAACACGATTTATCAATTGTGATAATAATTATTGGTGTACATTTTTCTTAAAATTTTCATGAAAATGTTATCATATACATTACTTATCAGATAAATCCTATGATGTATAATAATAGTATGTTCAACCAACATAATTATATTTAAAACCCGTATTAACATTTTGTTTTTCTACTTCAGTATGAATGTTTAAACGTTCTTTATCATTGTCGATTTCACCATTGTTGTTTTTATTAGAGTTATTTTCATAATTTTAAGCGAACTAATTTTTTTGGAGAAGTTATTAAAAATTACTTTAAATTATTCTGTAGGTACTCAGTTTTATTTAAATAAATAAAATTAGAAATACCGTACGCATCAATCAAAAAAAAAAATCCTCAAAAGTGAATAAAAATATTACAGTACCCAGTATTGAATTTATAGATCAGTTTGATTCATCTAAAAAAAATTGAAAATTTCAATAAAAACAAAAAAAAAATATGTACGAATGAAAATTGTTTAGCTTGCATCTCTAATAATAATAATAACAGATTTATTATGTACCTACAGGTATAATAATAATCATATAAATAATAATAATAACAAAAATATAATATTTTTGTTCTGATATCTAACCGGGCATCGCACTAGGTATCCTCGAATACGAAAAAAAACACAGATAAAAGTATAGAACGATTTTTAATTAACCTATATGATTACGATATGCTCTACTTTGAGCGGATTGTACTCGCATTCGATGGCGATTTGTAATTTATATTTATTTTTTTTCAATCCAAATTAGCCAGATCGATAGGGACATATAAACTATACGGAAATAAATTGAAACACAAAATTTACGATCGACATTTTTTTGACGACGACCTACTTAATCGGTTAGGTCATGTATTATGTATATCTATGAGTTTTTTTTTTACAGGAAAATCTGTTTTATTCCATTTTTATTTACTTTCACCAATTATAATTTTTTGTGTAGAATATATAATTACCATTTGTTTTTTATTTAATTACACTGATTACTTAATGAATATGTAAAAAAAAAAAAAAAAACTAACAACAATCGAGAAAAAACCTCATAAAAGTAGAAAACCATTTACCAGGATTTACATAACCTCCGGGCAATTTCCAAAATGGATTGTGGTGCTCTTTGACGACTAACAAATGATCGTCGCGTATCACAAGACCTCCAGCGCCCGTGTAAGTATGAGGGGAGTCTACAGTTGTGTTTTCTCCCTTCAAACGTTTGTACATCCACAGTTCGTTACCGTCAGGAGATGTTCTGTGAAACAGGAAATTGTTCTAGAAACCAAACACAAAATATTTTATTACGTACACGTGCAGGTTGGAAATCCCAAAAGCCAACCGAAACGTTCGTATATAGCATGCGTATGTATAGGACTTAGAAATATGTCAAAACACAAATCCCAACATATTTTAGAAGTATTACCTTTTCAATATAAAACGACACGTAATAGAATTTCTGTAGTTGTTATTGTTTTCATTTTTATAAACATTCAGCTATACCAACACATAATATTTTTATACCCATACCTACTATTATCTATAATTATTATTCGCAACGATTTTTTTTTTTTTGTCACAGATTAATCAATATAATATTTATAGTATATTATTATATCAAGAGTTTGGCCATTATTCAAATAGCCATTGAAAATAAATGAGTGTTGGTAATTTTTATTTTTTTGTATAAAATCAATAACACAATAGATAAAGAGTGTATATTTCACAGCTCAGAATAAAATTCGTTGTGAGTAAAATGGTTTTGTTTAGTCAGAACAATTTTAAAAACTCAACGAATTTTATTATAATATGGTAAACATTAAAAACAAAAAAAAAAGTTTTATGTTAAATAGTAGGTACCTATATATTTGCTACTGAATTAATAATGAAAGAGTTTATGTGTACTTTGTCGTAAAACCAAAAGTTGTAAAAGTCATTTTATTCTCAATTTTAAGTTATCCAGTAAAATGCATTTTAATTCAACTCGTATAGTATTCTTTTGAGTTGCGTATAGTGTAACTTGGTCTTTTATTAACGTTTTTCTTGGTTGAATGATTTGTAAATGATTAAAAGGTTCTTAGTCAAAAACTACTTTTAAAAGTTTTTTTGATATTAAATTCTTAGTCAAATTTTAAATTGATTTGTATTAAGTTTATTATAAATTTAAATGTTTATTGAGGATCAGTCAACCGTTTAAAATTGTTAAAATTCTCTAAACCATGAATTTTACTATTATTTATCATCAGTATAAAATATATTGCTATAATTTAATATCTATCTTCAATTCAGTGTGTACGCAATTATGACCGCATGTGATAGTAATTTTAAAATGTTTTAGGATAATAGGTATTTTCGAGTTGGGAATTTCAGTAGTTTTACCCTGAACATGTATAGTAGATATAATAATATTATTATGATGTTGGTAGAAAGTAGTTTAGGTTATTTCGGGCGTTGTCTAACTGTAATTCGGGCTGGCTTTTTATGGGTTTCGGTGCGTACTTTGGTATTTAAGAACTTACTTTGGCCAATTCCGTAATCCAATGCGCATGTTGTCGAGCAATCCGGAACCACACCAAGTGCACCTGTTCATCCACAGACCATTTAATTAGAGATCCTGTAGAAAATAATGGTTTTTTGAAAACGTGTTAAACATGAGTTCTGAAGAACGTGCTCGGGCCCCATATGGCGGCAACAACCCTCGCAAGAGGAGGGTGAGCGGCTTAGTGTAAAAAAAAAAACAACAACAATACTAAAGGGGGTGAAGTTCAATTTCGGGGGCTGCGCGTATAGTGTCGGGGAGGAACGATCGAGCGAAGGAGAGATAGGGTAAGAGAGAAATATAGTGAGTGAGAGAGGTGGGGAGAGAGGATTAATGTAGAGTACAGATTCCCCGGGGTATACGCGCACACTCTCGTGGCCGAGGGAATAAATCACAGATTAACTTGACGGTTCGCATTCAAATTTATGTCGATGGATTGTGTATAGTATATAGCATAGTTAAAATATGGCAAAAAAAAAAAAATTTGTTTTTGTATATTTTTTTACATTATACACCTATATATATTCCGTTATAAATCCGTTTTAAGCGAAAAGTTTTTTTTTTTATACAATAAGCATTGGAGGGGGGGGGAAGCTCAACGTCGATTATACGTACACAAGTGTTAGTTGAACGTTGTTAAAAATATGTTAGCATAAAATAAACTATAATATTATTTTCTGCAGTATTTTTCGTTTGTTTGTTTTTACATTGACAGCCTAAACGATAATGTTTGTTTTTCAAATCTGACTTAATACCTCTCGAAATTCTCTGGCAATTCGTCAAAAAAAAAAAAAAAAAAAAAAAATGTTGTGTGGATATAAATGAAATATTGCTGATTTCGGTACTTGTCAAGGTACACAACGAATAATGAATGAGATTACGTAATAAACGTANGACAGCCTAAACGATAATGTTTGTTTTTCAAATCTGACTTAATACCTCTCGAAATTCTCTGGCAATTCGTCAAAAAAAAAAAAAAAAAGAAAAAAAAAGAAAAAAAGGAAGTTGTATTCATTGTACGCATAGTTTAACACACAAGAGGTGAGATTATTCGAATAATTAACAGATTTGTTGATAGTTATATAGAAAAATAAAAAAAAAATAAAATGTTGTGTGGATATAAATGAAATATTGCTGATTTCGGTACTTGTCAAGGTACACAACGAATAATGAATGAGATTACGTAATAAACGTAATAAAAGATTACAAAAGCATTGAAAAATATAATAAAATAATCCAGACATATTTTTTCGAATGATACATCATTTTGTCGTTGATAATTCAAATTTTCCGGGTTTATTCATAATAAAAATATACAACAAATTCGCTTATCGTTAATTAATTTTGCAATTATCGTCATTATAACACATTAAATAATACTGTTCTTCGGATAGCGCAGAATAATGTGTACACCGCACGGATTACCTATATATATATATATATACTCGAATTAAAAATTATATATTTTTCGACAGCTATAGTGACAAATAGAATTGTAAACACAGACGAGTAATTATGGTTATCCGATATTTTTAAAATAAAAATAAACGTCCTAGGATAATGGGGTCGGGTGTAGCCACTGTTATAAGTAATTTAATGTACAACAACGATAAACATTGCTAACGAAAAACATAATTCTGAGCGGAGTTTAGTTGATAGTGCTGTTTTGTGAACAATATATATATTGTTATACTATGATAAAATTTCAATTATTCCAATTCCCAAATTAAAATGGATACCATTTTCCCTTTCACATTTGTTGAGAAAACTCCTAAGAAAATTGAAAAATGACTTCTCTAAAGTACCTTCCCAGTGAAATTTCTTTTTAGTAAAATTTCTATCATTATAAGTTGGAGCAAAATTGCTGGTAGAAAAGTTGTCCACAGGAAAAAAAAAATCGTAATATTTTACTAATATATTTTATACATTTTCCCGTTTTTCCTCCTTTTTTTTTTAGTTTTTCATATTTGATGAGAAAATCCCTGAAAAAATCAAAAAACCACCTCTCTAAAGTACCTCCTTTTTGAAAATTGAATGTAGAAAAACGATTCTGAGCGGAATTCAGTTATACGTGTTTTGAAAAACAAAAATAATAACAAATATCATTGTAAAATCAATACGTTCTTCGCTACACTCAGAATCTAGAAAACTATAATTACATGATGTATTTTACCTGTATATAATATTAATTATGAATTATGTTAAACTTTTTTTTTTAATTTTGACTTATAATGTTATACAAAACTGGGAAAGTTAAATACTTTTTTTAACTCATTATATTATGAAATCCAAGCTTAGTTAAAGTTAATTTAAACAATATAAATAAATTTGAGCAACTTAGTTAAGTAACACATTTTCAGAAAAATAATAACTTAAGTGAAGCTAAAAGTTATTAAAACAAGTATCAGTTATAAAACTTTTAACTTTTTAATTATAATTAGTCTATTTTTTAGTATATAATGTTTTTATACGTTTCGATATCTATATTATATATATTATATCATTATACTTACCTAAAACTAAAATTTCCAGTATTATTTTTAAGTAATTTGTTAAAAAAAAAAAAACACTAAGAAAATAATACAATTTCACAAGGTAAAAAATATCGCTATATTGAAATTTAAAGTGCCCATAGTGAAATAAAGAAAGCCGTTTATATCCGATATTATTAAACGCGATTTATTTATTTTTGGCATATAATAAATAATCGAGTCGAATTTTAAAAAAAAGAAAAAAATCAGCAGAACTTCAAAACATTAATTTCACTGTCGGGCACATGTCTCATCGCTTATCTCGCTTACTCGGTCTATACAGTGAAAATTACATTTTGGGATACAGCAGGTCTCTCATTTCGGTTCGTGTGTCGTATTTTTAAATCCGAAAGCGATTAATCATCGAATTCTAAAAACAATTCTGAACGAGGTTATTATATTATTTTTATATAGGTTTCAACCAACATATACTATTGGAAATTGTCTTTTTATTTTTATTTTATCGCAAACTAAATATAATGAGAATTTTCCAATTTTCACGCACTACACGCGTAAAGTACACAACTTTCGTGTCCAATTTCCGGTCGATTGAATATATCTTATACTTTACGTTGGATATGTCGAAATATTTTTAAAACTAGTTTAAAAAAAAAGAGCTGATACTGATGTGCTGATGATGATGTATGTGTTGATTAATGCTAACGAAAAACGATTCTGAACTGAGCTCGGTTAAGTAATTCTTTAAAAACAAATAACAACGAAACATTTATTAACTTATAATTTATATAGTACGCTGCCTAAATACCCCTTTCTACACCGCCACCACCATTTCTGTACACGGCCTAAATTATCCCCTCTACACCATCACCACAACAACTTTATCGCGCCTAGCCACGTCGCTTTACGCCAAGTACTGTGATTCAAACGTTTTAAATGTTTATAAATAACTTATAAATCACCAGAATATTTTAAACATTTTACCACGTAAATAAAATGCTAACATAAGAATTCTGTGAAAATATTAAATTTCTATGAACTATTTTAACCGAATTACAACACAAGTGGAAAATCGAAAAAAATTAAAACGTTAATTTTTCTTTTTTCCTGAATATTTTTTTAGTGCTTTTGTCATTTTTTGAACGGAGCAAGATTTCTTGTAGAAAAGTTGTTAACAGACAGAAAAAAATAATCTCACATCATAGTTAAACTAATACATTTCTCACTCCACTCAGAATCTAAAAAAAAAACAACTTATCATTGAAAACTACTAATTTTCTAACCCTAAGTTCAACATTCAAATTAAATATAAGATATACATTATAATATAATTATGTACCTATGTAACAATACATAATTATGTTATACAATTATACAGCTATTTTGAATTTGTAATGTCTAGGTAATGTTTTCTATAAAATTATATAATTTTGAAAATGTTCAGTTAAGTGTAAGAGTACACTAATAGTATAGTTACATGGTTAAAACAACTATAAAAAAAAAAAAAAAAAAATACTAAAAAATATATTATTATTATTATCATTATATATATACATTTTATAAATATACCAATGCCAATGTGTTTTTATTGTTGTGTTTTTGACATTTAATATTACTCTTGATTTTCATCGCATTTAACACACATATTGCCAAATAGTTTTTTTTTCGGTATAGGATTTCGAAAAGTAGAACTTATGGTGTGTGTTTGAGTTTTTTCCTTTTATATTTCCAAATATTTTGTTTCTAAAATTTTCCGGAGTGTCAAAAGCACAACCTAAAATAACACTCAGTGTATTATATAGTTCTAAAAATGTCTAGTCGTTTTAAAATATACATCGCTCAAGACGTTTATGTCAAAAATGATTAAATAATATTTTATATCCTTTTTTAAAAAAAGAGAAACATAGGAATAGGTACGGAATATTATAAGAAATGGCTGACGTTTTATGAAATAAAAATACTATAATATTTTTATTAAAATGTATTTTCTATTTTAGTATAAACATATTATATTAAACAGTTATTTATATTGGACTATTACATAACTTAGTAGGTTTTATCCTGAACGTGACGATAAATCATTTACAAACGAGATACGATTCTGATCGATGGACTCTTATTTTTCTACATTTAATTCGAACGTATTTTACGTTCATTTTTAACTATAAAACAAATTGTACGACAATATTAACGCTGAACAAAATACGAATAAAAAAAAAAGATCATAATTGTGGATTTTCTATATGGCGGATAAAAAAAAAAAAATCGACTTGTGACCTTATATACTTTATATAACCTATAATTGTCAAATTTTCGAATAATGTTGAGTATTTAACGTAGTATTATTCTGGTAAAAGAAATAACAGCGATTTTTGTCTCTTAGTCAAGGGGAAAAAGCAACAAAAAAGCATTCCGCCGCAGTCAAACCTACACATTCAATACATTTAAAGGACGTAACACACGTATCCTAGTGAATATACATTTGAAATTTCAAATAATAGTATAATATTATAAAACGCACGGGTTTACCTACGCAGAATTATACAAATTCGTGTATTATAAAACGTGGCGCGTGAAATATATACGGCCGTACGGGTTTTAAACAAAGGAATAAAAGCAAATTTAATCACGAAGTATAATAATTTTTGTCCGCTCGCGTGGATAATAATTTACAATATTTCGTATGTTTCCCGAAACGTTTCTCAATCCCAATTAATTCCGTCATCAGAACCTTCAATTATACCGCCGCCGCGCCGCTGGCATTTCCATTACTGCTCCTCTCCGCGCAATATAATATGCTCTCTGATTGTATTATATTATTATTCAGTCCGTTTTAAATGGGTCTCGGTTGTAATAGATATATACATATAATATACCCCGTACCGCATAATATACGAGGAAAATTAAAAAAAAAAAAGACGGTCGACAGTGTCCGCGGGTCCGAGTTTTGTTATACGGTATAATATATTATAGTATCGTTAGTAATAATATTTTATGTCAATGCCTCGCGAAATGGACAGACGGCGGTAAACCTATACAATACGCCTAATATGTCTATAATATTATGCGGATTTTTTTACCGCGCATTCTACAGATAAGTATATAAGGGCTAAAACCTAAAATCTTGAAACGGATTGCGTCAATATTGTGTTAGGGAATATCTTCCCTGCCGTTCTGGTACACTGTTATTTACGAAGCATAATTCGTAATTAGTGTATCCGATGATCAGCGCATACGTTATCAACATGTTTAGAAAAGCATTTTCTTTTCGAATCGCAGTGTTGCAGAGAGGACCGGGATATTTGAAAATCAAAAGTCAAGACACATAATTTATAAGCACGGCAGATATGGCCTAAAACCGTTTGAATACATACGCAGATATACACTAAAAATATAAAAATATATTCTGAAAAATAATAACAATAATCGAAACTCTAACATTTTATATTATTGATTGTTAATTGTACGAAGTGCTTAAAATATGATCTAAAAACGTATAAAATTCCTAAAATAATATTTAAAAAAAAATGTAATGAAATTTTGTTTACATAATCACGTTGAGTTATGGAAAAACTTTCTTGCCATAAACTAGCTTTGTTTTTTTTTTTTTTTTTTGACCAACCAATAAAAAAATATGCAAACAGTAATAAATATTTAACGATTGATAAGAAAAACAAAACGGAAACCGATAATTTACTTGAAATTCTCCGAGAAAATCGCCGGATCGTCGTAAACAACAAAAATCACCATAATATAATATGTATAATACGCACATTTCTGCAATAAAATGACGAGAGACGAAAATTCGAATTTAATTCCATCGAAATAATATTATTACTACAATATACCGACAGGTTACTATACATAATTTATTATTTATTGTCATAAGTGAACGGTATTGTACGAGATTACTCATCCGGACGTATACTGTTATATACGTGCGGTATAAACATCATATACGATAGGATATACATGCATAGGATACACATCATACACGCTATATATACGGTGGATTAGTAGTATTAAATGGCCGTTCGGAATTTAATCAAATTTGCGAATATAATATATAATATATATATATATACATATATTAAATCAGTATAAACAATATTATATCGTGTACAGCGCGGATGTATCTCATTAATATGTGCGCACGCCAAAAATTTAACGATTTTGATTACATTACGTATAATTTTACGCGTTCAACGTTAAACATTATTAATGTTATTTTGTACCTATACTCAATTGTAAACCTTATTTCTACATAATGCACGTACTCGTTCGAATCGTACAATTGAATTAAATTCGTTTTTCTTTTTTGTATATATATATATATATATATACAAATATATATTATATATATATATATATATATATATATATATAATTTGTATTCGCATATTCGCGGAATATTATTATAATGTATTCAAATGCTTCGTTATAAAATGACGCCTTATACACATTTTAATCAAATATACTTTTTATCGTGTACACGAGTATGTAGATAGGTTAGGTTAGGTTACCGTACAGTTGTGAATATTACGATTTGGCTTTTAAAAACGCTAATATAATATTGAATATATATATGCAAAAAAAAAAAATAGGGTATAATTAATTGATTTCCAAGGATAAATAATTATCGCAATGGAAAATGATTCCTCGAGGTGTATATTGCGATACTTTTCTCTTGATTTTTCTCGGTTTAAAATTTAATACTGTGGAGATTAGTAACGGGAATAATCAATACAACTCCTTTTTCCTCCTCTGCAAAAGCATCGACGGGATAAAAGTCGCTACACCGAAAACCACACCTGTAGAAATCTACTACTAAAGCGAGATTATACAGAGGTCAATAGTAGTTCATCGATAAGAAAAAAAATACACATCGTTGTAAAACATTTCTCGCTTCACTCGGGATCGAAAAGACGTATTGCAATACGTCCGTCCAGATAATGCGATTCGTCCGGAACGTCCGTTCTCCAACGGAAATTGATGTTTCGTAGCTAGATACGCCAAACGCACTTTAGTCAAGTTATTGACTGTAAATTGTCTATACAATTATGTTTCGTTACTGAAATTAATATTTCTCTTTGCACGACGACTGATATGTCACCGACATGGTTTTTCTTCCGACCAAAAGCTCATATTAATACACGGTAAACGTTTACCCATACACACCCGTACATTCGAAAACGGTGCAGATTTTGCACATTTCAAAGTGATTATTTGTATAAATTACGCGCAACTTACAGTCGATTAACTGCAGTGGGCACCTCTATATGATATGACGCGCGCCAAGTGCTGTAATAATAATAGTGTTTTTATTATATAAGACATAAATAAGAACATAATATCACATTAACTTTAAGAGTTTATATGCGGACAAAACAAATTACTTTTTAAAATAAACCGATTGCTTCGTCGCAGCACTTTGTTCCGAATTCACAAGTCTATAAATAGTTTATGTATAATATTATACGATACGAATACATGAATAATTTTGAATATAAATTTGATTTGAAAAAAAAAAAAAACACCGTCGTCGCGGACGTTTTACAAGATACGAAACGTTTAAAACAATAATATTAATAACATTTCAAAACGTACACGGCCACCGCACCGGCGGCGAAAGACCACAGGAAACACGAATGTTTATCGAACGTACCTACTTTTATGATGCGGACACGAAACTGTAATCGAATCATATAAGATTACTGGGATATTAGGTTTTGAGTTGCGCAAGTGCCACAACTATATGGGGTTTGAAAATCGATTCTTATACGAATATATATGTAAGGTATAGGCTTGTAGTTTATTTATAAAAGATGTAATATAGTATTTCGAGCTTGAAAAATAACTTACAAAAGGAAAAGCGTTTAACAAATGCACCTAATACAGTAATACCGGAGAAAATGGTTTCGGTTCGTTTGTAACAATTTCCCCGACGGACCGTGGGAGAAGGAGGGGGGGAGGAGAGAGTTGTTTTTGTTTTAAACGAACAAGTGGTATTTATTTTACAATTCTATAGGTACTATAATACCTGTAATAATTTATATTTACGAAATGTAATACACGTAAATTTGAATTTAATTTCTTAGGTGAGTTCAGTCGGCAGTCTCGTTGCTGCGTATACATAATAATGTAATAATAATTATTACGTGTAGTGTCAAATCGTTTTCGTTACACATTTCTCGATTATTGTTGTATTCGTCCGTATATTAACTATAATTACGAAGCGAGTAAAAATGTCATGACCTTATTAAAATCACTGTGTACACACATTAAAATGTAACAATGCGGATTATATACAGCTCTTTTTTTTTCTTTTTTTTTTTATTAGAGAGTAATCTTTTCGAAAATTATATCCGTATTATTTTCAGCGAGTATATATAATACTCTGGTTTTTTTTTTTTTTTTGCGATTTTTTGAAATTTATTTAACAATCATACTATTATTATGTAGACACTCTATGATACATTTTAGATCGTGCACTGGCGTGATTCGATTAAATTTCAGCCCGGTGCAAAACGTCCATTTTTTGTCATCTCCAAAGCGATTGCACACCGACAATCAAAATGTACGGACGCGCGTTTTTCGTGCATTCAATGATCTGTATAGTATTACGGTTAACAAACAAACGGGCTGTGTTCGGGCTAATCAATCAGTTTATATCGGCTATCGAATAGATAAAAAAGCGATGAAATAGATTATTTTTTTTTTTAAAAGGGCTGGAGTTCAGCTTCGGCAGGTAGATGCAAAATCACATCTCTGTAACCGTTATATAATCACAGGGGGGGGGTGTAAGCGCACCCCCGTAATTACGCCACCAAGATCATCACCATTAAACTGTTAGTTGCTGCAATAGGCACTCTTTGAGCAGTGGTTTTTTTATTTTTTTTTCTATATAAAAGTCGTTCAAAAGCAATGACCAGAAAAAAAAAATCTATTGCACGCTTTCCGAGAATTTATCTATAGAAATAAACAGAATTTTCTTTTATAAATATTATAATCTTTATTCACTGCGACCATAAAAAGTGAATATTTTCTCGAAATCTTTGAATTTTCCATAAGAACGTATAAGAATATTCAGAAACTTCGAATTAATATAATATAAGAATCTATATCGGTATAGGGAGAAGTCGGAATTGAAAAATAAACCGCCCGTCCTCCGGCGTCGTATATTCCGCAGCAGTAAAAACTTTTTATTATTATGAGCTAGGTATATGAAATTAATAAACAAATTTAATTATTTTCAACCGATCGGGTAAAACTTTAATCGCGATTCCCCAAACAATTTGGTGAATTATTTATTTAATATACACACAACTTTTGAAATTATTATTTTAAAGGTATTACACGAACCATCACAAGTACGGTTCTAGTTTGTTTTTTTGTTTTTTTTTTTTTTATCTCGGAACATTTTCAAAAATCGTGAATGGTTAGGTTGACTTATCCGGGACCGAAACGCGTAAGGGCGGGGGCGCCGCGTGCATTCTCGGCGCCCGGTTAATACACGGACCGGCGCGGTTGGTTGTCACTCGCGTATACGGTCGAGCCGAACAACCCCGCGCGTAGGGCCGCCGTCATCGCCGGCGCTGGCTGCCGGCTTTTAAACGCGACCGCCTCTGTTTGTTCTGGTTAATAATTTAAGCATCCGTTCGGCGGCGGCGGCGGCGGCGGTCTAGGGACGCCATAAAATAAACGTTTACTGCGGCGGCGGCGGCCCGTATTATTGTTTCGCGCGTGCAAAGTTTATTATACACACTCTGTGTATTATTATTTTGAAAGCGCGCGCGTGAAGGGTGAAAGTCTCCTCGCACGTAGGCCGCCGCCCGCATTAAATTTTCAACGGTTCTGCCGCGCGATCAACGACAATTAAAAATATTATCATGCGCCGCCGTCCCGTTGTATTGTCGTTACCGTCGAATTCGCGCGTGTACACTATACGAAGAACGACTGCTTATACGTGTTGTACGGAGTAGGCGCACGTGTCGCCGACGACAAAAGTCGTGTTCAATGTTATAACGATTACGACGTGAAAACGTTCCGCGCCTTCCCACCGCCCCTGCCCCGTTCTCCATCGGTCGCTCGCGAGCCCGTTGCGCACTTCGACCGAAGATCGATAGGGCGCCTCTGGGGAGCCCTAAACTAATAAAAAAAATAAAATAAAAATAAAACACCCCCGCGATTGTTTATCGAGTCCGGGAATAACCCGGTTACCGCGCGCGTCCAAATTGCTTTTTTCTTCTTCTCCTTCCCTACCCCTCATCCGGCCCACGCTCTCACCCCGCCACCCGTCATCGTTACGCGTCGCGTCGAACCGATCGGCGGCGTAAAATTTAATTTTTCGGTTATTAAACATCGCCGCGTACGTGCGCGCGCGCGTAGAACACACCGCGCAACATTAGCGTACGGAATAGCGCGAGCGTACAACGACACACGACGACAATAAATAATAAAACGACCGAAAAATGAAAAAAAAACCCTCGGGGAAAAAAAAATAAAAAAAAAATAATGCAATTGTTTTCTACGCGCCGACGAAAAATCCGCTGTCGCTTTCACGTCGGCCGTCCGGCCCGGTTTCGTGCGGACGCAATACGCACTGTAAACCCGTACGCAATGATATCGTACAACATATTATTATTGTTTTCCGCCGCGTCGGACCGACTCGCGGCCGCGCAAACGCACGCTAGCCGCACCGACCTGCCTGAAAAAACCCGGACCTATGCGCGCCAACCCATTTCCGCTCGGCGTGCGTCCCGGCGGACGGCGGGGGTAAGGGGGGGGGCGTCGGCGGCTTCGGCTCTAATGCGTGCGGGCCGGGGCGGATTTCGCGTGCCGCCGCTATATCGCTCCGGTGGCGCCGCCGTCCCCTACTTTGTATTATTATTTTCCGCATAGTTTCGAACGCAGTGCGGGACGGCGGGCGAGAGATATTCGACTCGGCGGCGCGAGTCGCGCGTACACGCCGACTGTAACACCGTAAGTTATGTAATTCAAACACCCCCCCCCCCACCTCCCACACGCACACACACACACACACACACGCACACACACACAGTTTCTGCCGTTCGAAATTATTATTATTATTATTATTATAACGTATAACGACAGTAATGATGACGAAACACCTATGCGAATACGGGCACAATCGAGCGCTTCGTATTATAACAATGCATACAGGGCGCGAAGAAATTCCGTGTTCGTACCCGGGGTACGCGCGCGCGCAGAATTACTTTCAGACGGACCGGTTCGGTTTCAATAATACAATAACAATGCGATTTGTAGTCAGCCAACGAAATAAGATTATCGCCGCCGAATTTCGCTCCCGGATCTCATTTGTATAGAAATTGATCACCGAGCAAGGCTCGGGGACTTAATTCATACAGTATCCGCAGAAAACAGCTTGAAAACGTCAAAGGAGTCTTGAAAAAAAAATATTTAAAAAAAAGGGCTCAGATAGATTTACAATTTCCATCCCCATATCCTATAACGGCTCTGAGCATTAAATTGCAATTTTCCAACACTAAAAAAACGATTAACATAAAATATTTTTTTTTATAATATTTCCAATTTTATTTATAAGCTCGTGTTAATAATTTTTGTAGAGTTCGAAAATTGTATTTTATAAGTTAGAGCCGTTAGACGTGAAATGTTTAAAAACATACTACCGTTTTTTTGTTTTGTTTTTTAAAGTGCATTTTCAAGCTTTTTTTGAAGAGCGTCTGATAACTTTGTAGTTGGATTTTAAGTGCATAAAGTCCCGAGCCTGATCATCAGTAAAAGATAGGTCATTCGCTGATACATAACGATATAGCTGCACTTCAGCTGTGGCGTTGTATAGTTTAGAAATGATGATTGAAGGGAAATAGCGCGAGGAAGAGGCAGGCCAAGAACGAGTGTTATGGTTTATTCAATAGTATAAAAGATGCGTGGGAGCGCGGATAATTCGAGAACAAAGCAATCTTAAGATAAAAACGCAGAGAAGTCATAGTGTTGATGTTAAACGATCCGACGATTGAAATCTAAAGAGGAGAAATATAATTAACAATATAATTTTCACAGTTTTGGCCACGTGCGCCGCGGTATCGGAACACAGAATACATCATTTTCGGGTATCCGATGTACCTTTGTGTTTTAACATCACAGACTTGTTATTTTCTTTCCAAAAATGACGCGTCACACGACATAATGTCGCGTGATATCAATTATTGAAAATTCCTCGTTGATAATGTTTAATTTTCGGTGTCATTATTGTGCGTGTTGATTGTTTCGAATTATATCCCAGAAATGTTCAATGGGAGTGATTGTAGCAAATAATAACGATGACCAAATCATTACCAAACTTGACTATAATATTATATAATGTGGACGTTTTATAACCATTTCAAAAAACCAAAAAAATCCAATTTTTAATTGATAAACAAAGCTTTTCCTCGTCTATCTCGGCTGAAATGTGTACTCTACATTTCGATACTAAATTTCAAAAATAAATGCACTCACAGTTGTTGTATTTTTAAGCCAACAGAGAGATGTAACTTCTAAACCCCCGCTGTGCACCCCACTAATCGTAATCGGAAAACACCAAAAGTGTTTTGTTTAGAAACAAAAACAAATAGACAGCAAGTTTAGTGTATTATACAGCGTGTTCACGTATCCAGATAACAATAAATATTTGGGCCGGATAACTTTGGACTTGAATTCTGTTTTCGGGAGGTAGTGATAGCGGATACTAAAATACCCAAATTACGATAGATTTTAATTGTTTAACAAGTAAACTATTGTTTGATTGTAACATGTCATATTGTTGACACTTGCAGATTCGAATAGTCCTATTATTTTCAAGCCAGTTTTTTTTCGCGTCTCAAAAATTACTCGAACCGTCTAGAGTCTGTGAAAAATATGATTTTTGTCGATTTTTCAAAAAATTATTTGTAAAGATAACCACGCGATTACGCAACGTACGTTTGAATTTTTTTTTGAAAAATTATATTCTTTTTAGTTAAATTTACCTCCCTCAATTGGTTCGTTTTTTAGAGGGAGGGGCGGCAATATCCTTTCGGTCCAAAAATTATGCTTTTAACTGACATGAGCGGATGTCGATCAGTCAATGTGACCACTGGCCGCTTAATGTGATAACACACAACTATCGAAGCAGCTCGAAAAAAAAAAAAATAATAATAATTATAATAAATAAGACTTTTCGAATCCAGCGTCGAAAATTACACAATACACCCCATAGGTCGTTATTTATTTATCGAGTTTACGACGAAGGCTCAACTATACGGTAATTTGACGAACACACAAATAAATTCAACTTAATAATCAATTAAAATAAAATCGGAATGAAGGGTTGGAATTACCTCGAATACCGCGTACGGCAGTTATCGCAGCGAGCCGAGACCGCACCGCGTACCACGACACGCGACATTCGTCGCGGTGAAAATCGAAAACGTCGACGACCGGGACATGAGTTCCAGGTGTCGGGACTCCGCGCTACGCCCTGTATGCGATACGGGCGCCGTGCCCCGGCGCCCCGTAACGGCGGCGGCGGCGGCGGCCGGCGCGCGAATAACGCCGTAAGCGTATTAAACAATACGCGAGGCGCGCGCGGGAGGTCGTTGTCGGGCGAGGCGCGATTGTTTGTACGCGCGCGTCGTTCCCGTCGTCGCGTTGGCCCGCGAGTTACGCGACAACAGTACGCGAGCCGATGACAACGTAATTACGCGAGACGTTCGTGAGATTATCGTTGTACGTCGTTATACGCGTACGCGTATGCGTTTCGCCCTACGTGTAGTAGGCGACCGATTCGCGAAACGGGCGTTTTTTTACGGGTTTCAAAAAAAAAAAAAAACCCCGTCCGTTTCGTTAACACTAGAAACCGGTGCTCTTGGAAACGTCGTTCGACACCGAACGCGCGCGATAAAAACGAAAACCGATACGTTCTATAAAAATGATTGTTGTTTTTATTCCCTGTTAACCGATTAACCGTACAAATATTTCGTACGAAATACCATTATCGTAATGGCCTATGCACCGTAGACAATATGCAAATAACTAACAGGTACGCAACAACAGCGACAAATTTAAAAAAAAAAAAAACGTCTGTTCAACGTCCGTTATAATGTCGAAAACTTCAATCGTCCGTCACTGGTTTTGCTCAGTTCGTGAAACGGGCCGATTTATTTAGCCATCGATGTGCTCGATTCCGGAATCGGACGAATTTCCAAATACGACTGGTACACGAGCGTATCCCGCCTTCCAGCGGCGTACACAGAGGGGTGGGAGGGTTAGGGAATCACCTCCCCCAATCGAAATTTCTTCTTTCGCTGCATTTTTTTTTCAAATCAAGTTTTATATACAACAACCGACCATCTTTGATCACGGAAATAAAATAAAAATTGAATTTCATCAAAAATCATTTATTCAGCAATAACACAATGATAGTAATGTACCGATAACACGCGTCGTCCCCTCTCTAAGAAATTATCATAAAAAAATTTCCCCCCCCCTGAAAAAAATCCCGCGTGCGCTACCGCCGCCTTCCCAACTTCCCACCTGGAACGGCGGTCCCCCGTCGCGTCGTGCGAAACGCACCAGTCTTTTTCTCGTCTCGTCACTGTATGTTATTCGGGCGGAGCGATATAACTTTGCGTTGTGCTTCGCGTCCCTCTCCTCCCCCCCCGCCCGTTAATACAATATAAAAGTTCGCCGCGAAACGTTGCACGGCGCCTTTGCACGGCCCGACTTTATATTATGCTCGGGCCGCGTTATACACTCGAAATTAACTGTCAAGAAGATTTAACGTGCGCCCGAACCGCGCGTATAATAATACCGTGTACCGCCACATGCGAGTAACAAAACGTCCGGGCGACGCGACAATTACTCACAAAAGCTGCTTGCGGATCTGCTTTAGCCGTCGCGCCGATAAGATTAAACTTTCGCCGGCGCATATTTTTTGTTTTTTTGTTTTTAATTGTCTTTATCGCGGCCGCCCCGTCGTCCTCGTGTAAATCACGGCCAACGGGCCGGGTCAGGCGGCGCACACAATTTCGTCGGGGGCTCGCATGCGCTATGAGGGGCACTGCCGCCGTCGCCGGTGATCGCCGAGTGTTCGGTAGACGATATTGATTCAGTGGCGTAACTAGAACTTCTAATGTCCGCGGCAAAATAAATTGTATAAACGACGATAAGAAAAAGGCCATTCGCAAAAGGCCTTTACTTGTCCAATAACGCCTATGGCCCTGATTCGGGGCCCATAGTCTTGGGCCCGGGGCTCGTTGCCCGTCATACCACTACGCCACTGCGTTCACGTCACGAACCTGCAGTGACAATAAACTGATAAAGGCGATGATATTGAAAAGATACTGCAGTGTATAATATGTTTTAACGCTGGACAATTAGGTATTGCGTACGAATTGTTTCACGATTTCATAAAAATGCGTTAGATATAAATTTTAAAATTATACGAATACACGTAGAGTAAAACGCGATATTTTTTTAAATCTAAGGTGTTATTGGTTTCATTAAAAAAAAAAAAGACCATAATTACCGAGTCAAAAATATATTACCATAGCACTGTTTCGGTGACTAATGTGCGACTATAATGATTTCTATTTCCTGTTATAGGGGCGAAAAATATATTTCGTCTCGGGGCGCTTTAATGTGTAGTTATGCCACTGGGTGCAATATATAGACGAGCGACACTATACACATATGCACTGTGTCGCTGTATTATGTTCATTAATGATTTTACGAGAGCAGTCGCACGCTGCAGTATACACCATTTTTTCTCCTTTTCAAAACACTTTCAATTCAAGAATGCAAAAAAAAATCAGTTGAATTATTCAGCACTAGAAAGTTTTTGTTTCGTTTTAGAATAAAACATTTTGGGTTAACATGTGTCCCGTTTTCAAAGCGCACCAAGTATACTTACGGCAATCAATTCGTATACTTATATAATATAGGTTATGATGAAAATATAAAGTAATAACACTCGTGTCATACCATACCAAAAATTATATTCACAATTAATTTATTTTCTTTTTAGTAGTTTACTGTACGTTGAATTTTTAAACCACTTTCCCGAAAGAAGTTCTTTTTTGAGTTGTCTTAAACTGGATAGTCGATACTACAGTACGGCGAGTATAATATTTTTAATTATTTATACGTGGATCCCAGACTTTTCACAACTGCAGCCTTTGTAATATATAAGTATAATCAACAGAGTTTAAAGCGGAAAACACTTCTGGGGCGGGGAAACTGTATTTTTCGAAAATTAAGGGACGTTTCCGAGAACTAATAATTAAATCCTATAAAACTTTTGAAAGCCCATCGCGGGTACAAGACTTCCGAAATGTTTCAATCCCCCAACACACACACATATATTATTTCTAAAAACGTTACGCCAATATAGGGCTTAAACTAACCCTTTCCTAAATATTATCCTACACGTGTACGGCTGTACAGTAAAATTAAAGTGAATCATAGTCAGATTATTATGTTTAAATTGGATTAAACGAGCATTAAAGAATTATTTATTTTTAATGGGACTAATTAGAGTTTTTAAAATTTCATTAAAAATGCCTCACTGACGCAGTAACTAAAGCGTCCCCCCGGACACCGAAGACTAAAACTAAAGGAGACCGATAATTTTTACCTTAAATAAGAAGGGCGCTGCGTCACCCTCTCCACTTTAACCACCGAATTTAATATTATATAATATTTTCGTCGGGGTTAAAATATATTTCTCGATTTTCAGACACTAACGTCACCGCGCATATAACCGAAATGTAGTGTGCAATTGACACATCATATCGTACTCCGAAACGGTATATTTCGTGTTGTATTTTTCTCTCCGTTTTATATATAAACTAATGATTGGTACCATATAAAGACCGCGTTCGAAATCGTCATTTATATAACATATATTTTATCGTTTACCCCCCCCCATACCTTTTTCTCTCGCTACCAAACGATCCGTAACAGACTTTTACCGGGGTTTAAAGTGGCAAATGTTAAAACTGTACTGTGATTTCTATAAAATATATTAATACAATTTTGGGCTTTTCGTATGTTTCAGTGTTCACGTCGTTTTATTTGCGTTGAATTTAAAATCAAAAACTATTTTAGATTCAAGCCGAGCGAGGAATTATTCATATGTGCAGCTTTATTGTTTTTTTTTTTTTTAAATTTGCGACGTGTATTTTTTCGGTTAATAAAAATCACACAAAACTTTCACACCGTACTTCGTTAAAAGATGCGGTTAATCGATATTATTATACATATATATATATACATCGATATTATTCTTATTTTTTTAAAATTTTCAAGTCAGGAAAATAAAAAAACTTACAACTGATGACCGACGATATTACACAGGTTTTTGGAAAAAATGTTTAATATGAAGAAATCTTAAATTTGAACATGGATGGGTGGCAGATGGGAATTTTTAATCAACATATTATATCGAAACTGGATTTTTAAATTTCAATTTCTATATAGTTATTCAATTATACTCAATTATATTCAATTAAAAATATTACGTTTAGATTTAGGGTCTTTGCACGTTTTTGGGTTGATTTCCGGGTTTCCTCGGTGGTTACATCACAGAGGAATAATACGACAAAGTTGTCCGAAAACCTATAACCATTTGGACGAGCTCCACTCAGTCTTAATCTGATTTTAAATTTGATCAGAAATAAATCTCCTTAGATCCCTCAAACCCGCCACTTTGACCCCCCCCCCCCCCCGGACATTTTACAGACGATTACAATTTCATCTAGGCACGAATTCTAGGAAAAGTAACGTATATTTTAAATATATAAAAAGTCGCATAAACTCGGTAATACACTCGAGTCGACGTTATTTTACTGCAACTAACGGTACGTAAAAAAAAAAAAAATTACCTGTTCGCATGAAAATAGTTTTTTGTACAACTCGAACAAATATAATATTATATACCTACTATATTTAAAGATATACAGTATGTAGCTCAAAATCTTCTATATCGGGCCATTTTTAACGGTTTGCCGGATAAATTTTATAAAAAAAAAAAAAAAAAATACATGTATTTACACACATTTGTTATGATTATCCACTGCCCGTCTCTCTCCGAAGCCCCGTGATCAGGTAGACCAAATATTTATCTATAATTTCCTCAGTTACCTCTGATTTAGAGTATTTCTTATACAAAATATAATATTTTAGTAATTCGATAATTTTTGTTATTTATTTCCTAATGGCCGACACGCAGTAAGCAAAATTGTACTCTACTCGGTGTCCAATCGACATTGGGGTACCGTGTCTATTTGGACGCGGAAAACTCCCTTTTGAAAAACGCCCGGTAGTTACGACGAGTCTTGTAATAGTGTAAAACCGAGACCGACGTTTGATTGGAGAGATTACACACCGGGACCGCGTGTACGTATTGTCGAAAAAACAGAACTCGGCCGCGCGGGTTGGAGATATTATATAATATATCTCCGGCGAAACGGAGATAGACGAGACGTGTTAACAAGGGTTATATATACGGGGGCGAGGGTTTAGATGGTGTGCTGCAACACGAAATGGACGGTGTGTGAGAACAAGAGGGTCGGTCCCTCAAATATAAATGGGAAGTAGCGAAAGCATATAATTACATTTTTTTTTTATTATGAAGTACCATAACTCAAACCGAGCGCGGCGTACTTAGATACTACGTTTTTTTATTTTTTTTTTTTTAACCCGATGTACTCTATTCGTACATATATAATATACACACTATATATATATATATATTATCTTACACATAGGATGACGTAATTAAACCGACCGCGGTACATCGCAGTAACGATTATATACACATAACATTTCGGTTTGGAAACGAGCGGATATTAAAATTTTTGTTTTTTTAAGCGTGATATTATTGTACTACGGTGTGTTTTCATCGTGCGACTATCACACAAAAGAGCGTTTAAACTACGGTCCGAGAACGAACAACGGACGGTCGTACGGCCCACTAACATAAACGGTTGGTAGAAAGTCTACAGAATTCCCCTCGTATTCGTTCGTTCAATCGTGTTCGGGCCATGGTCTAAACAACGCGCCTTAAGACGGCGTGAATATCCGCACGTGTCGTCTCAGCCTTACAAACAGACGTCACAGTAAATTTGTGTTCAGCAGGGACAATATTGCGTTGTTATTTTTAATATCACAGTGTAATGATCGCATGCTCTATTTTTTCAATATTTTAATTTTTCAGTGAGACGTGAGTATAGTTATGTAAAATATTACAATTCAATAATACTTATATCTTGCTTGAAATTAACCGCACAAATAGCGCCAACGTTGCACGGATAGTTTTCTCATCTTTATAAGTTTGATTATAGATCGCTCTAATTCACTCTAATTTTTAAACTAACAGCACAAAGTCCTCAGCTGAACATAAATTTGCGGGGTATCACGTCCGTTTCAGAAACCGAGGTCGGATTACGAGGGCTTGGTACCTACCCGAAATTTCGCGATTTGATTGTAAAAACTTATTTCCCCGGGCAAAAATTAATCGGGTTATAGACTATTAATAAAGAAACCAAATTTTCACCGCACAAAAGAAATAACTCGCACTGTACAACGCGTTGGTTTTAATTTTTTGATACCATAAAAAAAGTTATTATTGTTTTAAAATATGATAGTTTTAAGTTTTTCAAACTCAAATAACTATTTTCGCAGCAATAATGATATCAAAGAATTAAATATTAAAACAAATATTGCACAGTACCGGTTTTAATTTTTGTATGGTGAAATTTGTATTTGGTTTCTTAATTAAGTTTAAAGCCCGCGCGCAACGATTTCACCGTAAACATTTTTGTTAATTTCACTGATTACAAAATAATTAATAATTATAATAATCACTCGGGACTACTCGTAAATGTATTTTAAAGCGAATTTGAATTATTTTCAGTCGATAGAAAATTAATTTTTCCAACGATTTCGAAAAAACACCCTACGCGAAACACCTAAAATACGGGAGGTAGGACGTCATCATAAAGGACCCCGGGGGCCGAATTCGGAAAAGAACCTACATTTTTCTGTAAATTATAAATATAAAATATAAATTACGATTGTTTATAACGAACGTTTATATATATATAATATCCAAATCGAATTTAAAACGGATTTTTATAAAATTCCCCGCGATAGATTCGGCATTATTGTTAAAAATCCTGTCACGTTTTTCACGGTCGAAGTGTCGAGAATATTATTGTTTTCTATAATATAAATTGGATATATTATATACGACAAAATCGATTTTGTTAAAACCCGCAGCAGCGGCGCGAGTCATAAATCCTCGGACGCGGTTTTTCGCAATTTTGCGGCCGGGAAAATCGCGGTCGAGAAAAACGACCTCTTTAAGTACCGCTATATAACCGCTAGCTCTTGTCCGCGATTGTATAGATCTATGTGTATGTGCGCTTTTGGTGTGAAACTTTAACGCGAAAAATCGATTACACATACGCTAAAAGAAAAAGCATAGATCAAAGAAAAAGTCGCTAGAAGTTATTTATAGGGTGGGGAGGGCGGTTGGGATTATGAGAGCACGTGGAGTTGACGGAGTAAAAATATATAATACGGAGACGAATAGGGCGAAAATAAGAGTAGGTGTATACGATAGTAGCTGCAGGGTTTGCTCGCGAGGTAAAGAAGCCTCCGATGAGGAACCGAGGGAGTTTATGAAAACTATCGTGTTTTACTATAGTTTTTTGTCACGGACATAGAATTTTGAAAAAAAAAGGAAAACGTCGTACCGCGCGTAATATTTTCCATATAATAATATACTATCAGATTTATGGAGAGGATATAATATGATTTATTATTTTTCTATATGTATATATATATAAAGAAGTGAACTTATTCTCACCGCATCACGAGCGAAGTAACGTCCGATATTTTATATTATTATTTCACAAAGCTACACACAGCTATAGTGCGGGTTCGCAGCGGTTATAGGATCGCTGCAGTATAATATAATTGCTTCCCATTCGACAATATTATGTAAAAAGTGATTATTTAAGAAAATACGACTTCCATATTGTGATTTGTATCGAGGAGAAAATCTGTAGATTTTTCAAAAAAAATATTTTCACCGCGTTTTAAAAGTCACGAAAAAATTAAAAATTATGACGCATACATAAAAACGAGTAGGTATATAATAGAGTCATCCTATACCTACCTGGAGTATAGTATTTATTATTCGGAAAATAAACACCGCATTAATATTATAATCGTGTTATTTTTATATTTATTTATATTTTTTTATTATACGAATAGAGAGAAGTATTGAGCGATAAAATACTTTTACGATTACATGTTATTATATAACTGAATAATATAAGCACACACACACACACGTATAGTATGTACGTGTATACGTACCTGTACAAAAAGTCGATACAGTATTAATATGAAAAAAAAAAAAATCGTATATGAATGTTATATATTTTTGTACAAAAGCAACTGGTATTACGTCAACCATAACATATAGAGGTTCATACTCTCCGGGTATATATTTTATTTATTACCAAATAATAAGTGTGTTATAAGAGGGGTTATAAAAAAATATAAAAAAATCCTAGTAGAATAAAACAGCAGACAGTATTTTAGCTCAAAAATATAGTCTGCGAGAGGAGTAGTTTATCCGAAAATATCCGAGCAAAAAAATAAATTCCACCGACCGCGACAGTATATTATTACGGTAAAAAATATTACAACCGATCGTATTTCAGACCTAATATCTACTCTATGGGCGATACGGGTTATCAACGTTTCTTATCATTGTTTTGGAACACTGCTGATGTGTATTAGTTTTAAATCGAATAACGGACATTTGAATAAATACAACATTATAGTAAATAGAATACAATTTATGGAAAATGAATGGATTGAAATAATTCGAATGTTAACGTGACAGTGGCTCGCCACAATGTTATACCTGTATTATTACTGTCCACGGTGGTAACCAGACACTATATTATTTGGTCGTCTGTAATATTTTCGGAAAAATTAATTTCAGCCAAAATACTTTTCGTCTTGGTTAAATACTATTCGGCAGTTATTTATTTGAAAAAAGCGACGGATTGCTCTCGACCATGCCCTTATTTCGGTGTACCACGCGTAATCATGTATCAATTTCGAAGATAGTCCCCGGTGCTCGCGATAAAACAATCGCTCTGTATACGCGTAAACTCGTGTAATAATTTGAACAGGGCGCTGAAGTTGTGTGTAATACGACATTTGCAGTGTATACCGTTGGAAAGTGTAAATTATTTGTTTAACAATTGAATATTCAAATTTCTTCAACAATACGTATAGGTATATAATATAATACGAACGTCGAATATGGAATATGTAAACCAATAATAATATCGTAACAATAGCTGGCAATCGCACGACCTTGATTTTATATATTCTTTACAAGTTTAATTTCAATATTTTCTTTCCTAACTACACAATATAGCTGCTAATAGCTATATGGGGTACCGATTTTTAATCTACCCGAGTATAATATATATTTTATATATATGTACATTTCACGACTAAAAATATACCATGGGCTCTAGACGGTAGGTATTATTAGACATATAAAGAATATATTACGATAATATAATATGCTATACAGGAGTAAAATATTTATGTTTCGTTTGAAAAGCCCATTAATTTCGCGGTGATAAATACGCGTTCCAAAAGAAATACACCATAGCACAAATGGAAAGTGTTTTATATAGGTAAAAAATAGAAAATCATCCTGTTCCTTTTTCGCGTAACAGATAGTATTGACGGAAACTAAAATGTTATAAATTTCAGGACTGGAACATATTCTATAATACAATAGTGTATAAAACACGTATTAAACGTACAAAACCTACATATTACAAAACTATTTGGTTTTATTGGTTTTTTCGTTTTATATACCGTATAAAACGTATAAATATACATTTTTTTATTATTAATTAATTCATTTAAAAGTATTGTTTTTAAAATTGGGTGGATTTATTTATTTATACATTGTTTTTATTTAGATACCTATATTCTAGTTGAATATATGTAAAAAGTAAACACTTAACTGAAAATAACAGTATAATATTTCGGTACATAGTAGACGTTCCATACATCCTGTCCTATATCTTCCATTCTATGTCTTACTTTCTTCCCCTGTATCCTACCCGTTATACTCTATGAACTCGCCACAAAAACGTCAACCACTTCAAAAAAAAAAAAAAAAAACGTCTAGACATTCCACGATTATCTATATCTTACATAATACTCTATTTTACCTACTCCTATATCCTACCCGTTAACCAGAGGGACATCTAGAACTTAGAATTTTTGCAGAATTGAGATTACTATTATTACACTGTGAACATTTTCAACTTTTCTCCCGTCTCATGGCCATGGAGCGAAGCTCTTCGAATCGAACACCCAGTAGAATGTATTCGTTCCCGACTAGAGGCCTAAACGAATTGATGAATATTAGTTAAAATTCATACAGTATAGGTACTTAATAAATGTTGAATAATTATTTTACATTATCTATTACCTATTATTACCTATTTATTTCAAAGGAAAAAAAAGTGCCAGCATATGTTTTAACCGTAATGTATACGTTTTATACGCGTATTTTAACAACCATGAAAAATATAATAATAATTTAATTATTACTTTTTTTTATTCCAGTTGACTTACGAGGCTATATTTTATTACGATTATTTTGTAATAAGGTAAAAAAAATTGTTAATCTATTATAGACTTATTATACATTTTATAGTTAGAAAAACAGAAAATTAAAAAAAAATATATTTTTTTATAGTATTATTTTGGTCGATTTTAAAAATTATCTGTATATATTTTATGGTTTTTCATAAAAAAAAAAAAAAAAAAAAGGAAGTAAATTATATACTTTTACAACACGTTGCGTTAATAACATTTTAATATTTTTATAGTCATATTATCATAATGAAATATGCATACATATTTTGATATTGTATTATATAATTATAATGAAAACCAAAATCGCGGTAAGTATGAATGTTAATATATAGCAAGTTATAAATGGCGTATTTAAGATTTTGCCAATAAGGAGGGAGATATTGAATTTGAAAATTGTGCCATATTGTAGGTATAACGTGTACCCAGGCTAAATACAATATCAATAGTTAATTAATAGATTGTTTGTAAGTAATTTATAATTCAATCTGCCCTAAAATTACCATTGAATTGAAATAGGTATATTTTAACAAGTGTATCTATTTAGGAACTAATCTAACCTGCATCGGTTTATAGCGGATTGAATATTGGTGTCATTTTAATATATTAATTGTATAGACCAGCTAGCTATGTGTAAACCAAAACATTAAATTATTCGTTTTTCCAACTAAAAATTAATGACATTTCAATTTAATATAGATTGTTATGGAAATATAATAAATACAGTCTAAAAGGTTGGATTAGATTATAGAATTTATTCCCAGAATTTGAAACCCGTAATAATAATACATATATTAATACACCACTCTATTAAGTACGAAATGTTTATTAACTCTACGTTAGACCTACATCTTAAATAATATAATACTTAATCGCATTATTTTAGGTTATTATTGTATTCAAATATTTTTAATTTATTTAATTTGCACTTGAATTGAAATCAGTCGCTTTTTGTTTGGTAGAGGGTATGTTTACTGTACACTTATAATAATATATATAAATGTATCTAGTTTAGGCACAACTAGGGGGTGCTAAAGGGTCTTTAGTACCACTAAGTTTAAAATTAGGGCCCCTAAAAAAAACTCAATTAACTTTTTCATAGGTCTGATTAAATATTTTATTAATATATTTCAAAATTAATGAACAGAATAAAATACAGGTTTCCTATAGACAATTCATTGGGCATGAAAAATAATGTTAAAATAGTTACGATAAATTTGTATGTACAAAATTCTAAATTAAAAGTGTAAGTAGTTGATTATTGTAAGAGTTGTGTTACGGATATTGTGTGGGGTCATAGCCGCCATGGGTCTTTGATGTGTCCATAATTTTAGCAACCCCAAAGGGTATGATCTAGTTACGCCTATGGTATGCGTATGTTTTTAAGTGAATAATAAAAACAAAAAAAATCTACTTTTTTCCCCCGGTCGTAGTGCAAAAAATCCGTGCCCTAATTTATTTATACAATGCACGCGCGAGTATAGTATATTATTATATTCAATTAAACCGTTCGGAATTACGATTAAACTTTTCACTGCCTATTTATAATGTTCCCTGTACATCAGATATAAATTTAACAGTAGCGGTCAAATGATTTTGTCCTGTGGAGGATGAAACTGAGTTTTTGCAAATTAATTATTATTTACATTAAACAAAAATAGGTAGCATAATGTACCTATATTATAATACACATTTAAAGAAAAAGCACGGGAGGATAAATCAACACATCCCGATCCAATGTTTGACCATCCCTGAAATTAAATATATATACGTTTTAAATAATAAATTACAAAATGTTATAGATTATATTATAAATTTAATTTAAATTAATTTTTTTTTTTAATATATAAATAGGTACAAGTAAAATTAGAATACATAAATATACGGTTTATAAGATTAAAAAATATATAACACCAATATTATATACGACTTTTATATTTTAATTCGGGAAATAAAACGAGCAGTAAAGCTATATATCATTGTTGAATGCTGCTGGGTTAGGTTTCCCTTAATTTACATTTTTTTTCCATTGTTATTAAATTCTTCTGCAGCTAATTGCAGTACATTATTGCACTTAAAGTGCACATTATATCGTATAAATTCTAATAATAAATTATATTTATTATTTAATAATATGAAAAATGAATAATAGTTATTATTTTAAAGCGATAGAATAAACGCTTGGTTTAACACGTTTTGATGCAGGTTGAGTTTCGAAAATACGAGACTGACTCGAACCTAACATCGCAGAAATATTTACGCGAGGACGCAACTAGAAAGATTTTTATAGGTTCAAAAGAAAAATGAAAATCAGCTAAGATATGAGAAATAAGGAGTTTGTGAAATGGTCGTAAATACCAAAATTCTACAAACGCAAACTACTGCATGTATTCAGTAGAGTTAATTTTAATAAATAAAAAAACCGGACAATTCGAACCAGAGAATTTTTTAGGAGGTTTTTTTGTGTCCAAATGGACACACAGTAAAGTCTATACTCTGTTGGACACTCAATAGAGTACGATTTTGCTTGTGGTATGCTCACGAGAAAATAAATGGTAATTGATTAAATTAGTCGATTTTGTAGTAAAATATTATATTTTATGTAGAAATACTCTCACTGATGGGCTGAGGCATAACTGGGGTAGGTCATAAATTCAAGAAGAAGGTTTGGTCGATCTGCTTATAGGTAACTAATCATTATTGTAACTATAAAATAAATACAAATTGCTTGTATTTTTAACGAATTTCAACATACATTTGAAATTTTAAAATATCGATGAAAATAGATTACAAAATCCGTATAACATGAATAAAAAGTCTTTAGATGATAAAAGTGTAAAACTATCGATTAGGGTACTTAAAAAAAAAATAATTTTAAAAATTAAAAGTTATTTTTGATCTGTTTTTTTATTTTTAAAATTTTTAGTTTTGTATAGATGTTATTTTAATTGATTTAGTAGATATAATTAAAATTACATTTTTTTTTTTATGTATACCTATAATTGGTAAAAAACAATTTTCATTTTAAACCACGCTCGTATATTTATACCTGGTATTCATAATTGAAATTCAGGAATACACGAGCGCAAAGGTTTTATTTACACGGTTTCGCGTTAGTTTATGTTGCATTTTAACATGTATGTAAACAACTTTAAATAACATAAAAAAAAAATTGAATTAAATTTCTCCATAATATTCGCACACGTGAATTAAAATAAATATTTATTTACGTATAAAAAACATTTCGTTCGTTTGTTATAATAACATGATACAATTAATACATATATATAATATATACTGCAGAAGAAAAATTAAAAAATTATTTTGAATGATTATTATTTAAAAAAAAACGAAAAAAATCAATTTATTTCATAATTTTCTCGGTAATGAATCATGACAATACTATTGTTTTACATAATAAAACATATTAATAGCAAACAGTGATAGAAGTAGAAATAAAAAAATACATAAAGTTACTAACAAAGAGATATACAGTGGCGTCATATTAATTCATATTCGGTATATTCGGTCATATTCGGTAGACTGCAGTGGTGTTACCAAATGTGCCGACTGATAGAGAAAGTGATTTAACAAAAACTAATATTTCAGATTTTCATACTTTTACAAAGAAATAAGTACATGTTATTTTCATGAAATTTAAATTGTGATCATGGAAATCAGTCGAAAAATAGAAGAACCGGACATTTTTCCATGTAAATTACTTATAGTGTATGATAACATAAAACAAACAGATATTTACTTACATTTAAACATTCTTAGATACTTTAACATTTTTTACCAGGCCCAATACAATCAGATAACAACATTAAGATAAAACTAAAAGTTAGATTCGCGAAAATATCCAAGTTGCTTCCCAAATAAATGACGCCACTAGAAAAATGTGAATACCTTTTATTCAAACCTAAAATATTATAATAGTGTATTTAAATATATTTTAAAAAAACATAAAAACAGGGTCTTTCATATTTCATGTTACAGTAAAATTTTCTATGAAGAATTTATTTTTTCAAAAAATAACTTTTTGAAATTATATATATTCTAAAGCGTTAGGTTGTCCTTAGTTTTGGGATTGAAACGGTTTCTTATATTGCAGAAACCTATATTAAATATTCCATAAATAGACGGAGTATTAAGTTAAGTACATTTTGGTGTTGCCATGTTTGATTTTCGTCGACTCGTTGACTAGATATTTCTCTTTTAAGTTTGGATAAGGGGAGAGTTAGTAGTGGAACATCATTTGTATGGCGGCATAGCACGCGGCGTTTGAATAGAGCTCCGCTACTCTTTCCCTACCTAAACTTAATAGTGGAATATCTCATTAACGGGTTAACGATAATTAAAAATGCCAACACCGAAATGTGTTTAAATTAATACTCCGTTTATGGGATTTTTAATGTAAGTTACTGTTTGAAAATCAAAAGTAGGTAGTCGATTCACCGTCTTCCTCTCTCCCCTCTAAAGACAATATAACATTTCAGAATATATAATTATAAAAAGTTTTTAAAGTCAATTTTTGAATAAATAAGTAATTCATGGACAATTTATTATAAAATGAAAATTGAAAGCCGATACATCAACATTTTGTTTGATTTTTATAGAAAAACTGTTGGAAATCTAGTCATTTTTTTCAAATAAGGAACAACTTGACAAAAAATCTGCATTTTTTTAGGACGTGAAAAAATCGGAATATTTTAACTAACCCATAAAGCGTTTTCCAAGAAATAATAGTAATAATTAGTAAAACCAATAGCTTCTCCGAATCTAAAACATAATATGTTATTAAGTATATAATAATTATTCATACGCATCCAATCAAATTTGTAGATCGTAACAAATATTAAAATTTAAACGTACGATTTATTAGACAGTATGAAAACAAACTTGGAGTTTATTTATCGTGTATGATTTATAGTAGTCGAATGTTATAATAATTGCCATAAGATACCTAATAAATTATGTGCACTTACCTATATAATATACATTATAATGTTAAAAATATTTTTGAATCCATCGAATAGGTAGTCTGGCGAGTAAATTATTATTATTTATTATTTATATTAACCGCGCATACTGAACGACAATATATTATGAAAAAATAAATATTTTAATGATACATAATGTTATGTTACATTGCTTTAAAAAAATGATTACCGCTCATCTGTGGAGATTTAATATTCAGTCATATTTTTTTTTTTCGGTATGATCTTTGGTAATTCATTTGTTACTATAGGTATTTATAGTTTTTAAAACAAATTTAATCGTTCATCTATACAATTTTTCAAATTATTTACTGGCGTGAATCTAAGGGGAGCGACCCTTCCCCCACCCCCGTAGGCCGTATGATGTTCGGATATTTTTTATATATATTCATATCACAAAATATCTATTATCAATAACTCTTCAGTTCTAATTCCAAGAACGTAAAAATTGTCTTTCAATAGTTCATCCCCCCCCTCGAATTGATCTGATAGCTTAAACCTGCTTCTTACTCCTATTATATTATATAATATGAAGTTTAAAAAATGTATATATATATTTTTATACGTTCAAACAACTTAACTTAACTTTACACACACATCAAAGATATTACATAATAATGTATTTTTCCCGATTCCGTTCCACTGAATTTCACAACGAAAATATTTGCAGTGCGCGGTTAGAGAACTAATTTCTGAAAGCTTTTCAATCCACTGGGTTTATCTAAAGAAGTATATACGTATACGTAAAGACGGCCGGTTTCTCGATTGGCGTTTAAACATATTATTATTGCTGGAGCCCGCCCGTAAGCTTTTCGAGAAGTTTACCAAATAGTTAAAAGTACTTCGGGTTAAACCCTGCCGATACAGTCTGTATATAGATTCACTAGCGGAGATATATATGAATAAAATGTTAAGATTCTAAAAAAGATTTTTAGAACCATTTTATAGAAAATGAGGTAAAGCCGAAGCATCAGATTCATTTTCAAATAAATCCAACGATAAAATATTTAATTACCTAGTTATTATGTCCTCGTCACCGTTTTCGGTTATTAAAGCATAAATAAAAGAATGTCAATCGTATAGATTCAATAGAACATGTAGCTTTAAAAAATTTAATGTTTCATATCAAATTATAACTTTTTTTTTGTTTGACTTGATATGGCTGCGTCTACTTATATTTTTGTTTAAACGATATAATGAGAGTAACGTCATTATAGAAATGTGTACAACACTGACAAATAGTGAAAATTAAGTTTTAAAGGTTTATGTGATTTCTAGTTTTTTATTCGACTAAAATTTCGAAGTTATTACCTATACTTATAATATAAAATAAATCCATAAACGATTTAAATAAAATGTTAAACATAATATATATATGCAATAACACCTAGAATGTATACCTATAATAAAACGATTCGTTTGGGATTAAGATAAATCTGACGGTGTTTCTCGTATAAATCAATAATAATTTACGAATTATAACAGAGAAAAAAATGTCTTTGTTAATTAATAATTTTTATACAGATACGTATAGGTAATGTATTGGAATATTATTTCACAACAGTTTTTTTTCTTCTTTAGAAATAAAATTACTTAGGTACCTAAATATTATCATGTTATATATTAGTATAACATGCAATACGAAAATAATAATAAAATAGATGAACGTGATTTTGTTTATCAGTTTTAATAATACGTTTCCGGTGATAAATACGACTATAACGTACATTGTACTGCAGTGTACACTCACGATTATTATTTTTTAATCTTACATTTATTCATGCACATAATGACACGAGAAATAGCTCTTGTTAAAATGATTTCGCTATAGCCTCTACTCTATATACATTATATAATATAATAGGTACCAAATAATTCTTGATAATATTATTTACTCGCGAACATGACGTAATTATACCTATATAATATTATTAACAAATAATAATTATTGTAACTAAATTTTATTAGGACGCGCCGGTTTAGGATTTCAATTATAAGGGTCTGTTCCGGCAAAAGATACATAATATAAATTCCTATTATACAAGACCGTATTTAACGAAGGTCCGGATAAGTATTGCGCACGCGTTGCCTCAAGCGTACAATTTTTAAATTATCCTTCTCTTTTTTTTTTTTTTTTTTATTATTATTAGAATTTTTTTATACGCAATAAATTATACGATGCTATTTCATACTCTGTACATAGCATATATATAGCGAAAATTAATTTTTTTGCAATAATGTCGATACACATAAATCTAGTAATTTACCGAACGATTTATTTTTCATACATTCAAATTATTATGTAGTTACGCCACACCCGCATTTACTGTGTCCGCCTATCACGACGTCATAGCAAGTTTGCGTTCAGTAGGACAAATTTCGTGCAACTAATCTATTTAGTTGCGTAATTAGGGGATGAGGAAAAATGTAAAACAAAAATTGGACCTCCCCACCTCTTATAAGATTCGAAGAGGTATGAACATTTAAATATCCCTGAACACATTAAACATTTTGCAACGTCGATAATTTTAACTTGGTTACGCCACTGCCAAAATGTTTTACATAAATCATTTTTTGAAAAAAAATGAGTAAGCATTTAATGGTAAATTAAACTTCAACGTGAAATTTGACAAATCCTATATACTACGCACTTCTACAAAATCAACATAATATACAAAATAGGATAAGTGTTTTCATGCGATTATTTTGTATTATAATAAAGTCGATTTTACGAGCACATTGTACACGACAATAAAATAGAATCGACGCGAGTTATGGACAATAATTGTGTATAATAATACTAAAATCATACTAAATTCGAGTATAGAGGAAGCGGTGTAGAGATAATATCTGCAGATAACTGATAAGTAAATGATACAGTAAACCGTATAATAAATATTCATGCGAGAAATTATTAAAATTTATAACATTCGTTCCAAAATCCTGTGGAATGTTTTGTAAATTATAATCTCAATCATAAATAAATATGAACAATAATATAAGTAGTAAGTATTAATTAAAAATTATATCGACAAAACCGTAATGATATCGCCTCAGACGACTTGCACGTAGTATAATCAAATCGAAAATAATATTAAAATATTCACCGCTATAATATAATAGGTATTTTCTCGAATTCATTAAACTCATCTTAAACTTCAAAAAAAAAAAAAAAAATTAAAAAAATAAATAAATAGAATTTGATATTGATGATGAATGTGTTACTGTTTTAGGTGAACATTTGGGAATGGAAGATATATATAGATTTGCTTAATTTGTATCTTTTACGCAACGATAGATAATTTCAAACAAATTACGATTCTGAGTGAAGTTCGACTGAACATGTTTTGAAATGCCACAATATTTAAGAATATCAACAATATTTGATCTTAAAACTATTATAAAAAAAACTACTACAATACATTGAACTGAACTTTATATTTTTAACCACTAAGTACAATTTGCAACGAACCTAATGTTAAATTTTCAAGTATTTTCTGAAAAAAACTGGCAAAATTAAAATGTCTTAAATATTTTTAAAATTATATCACGTTTAGATTTTTAATTAAACTACAACAACAAAACAAAAAAATTTAAAAAAAAAGAACCGACAGTGCTTCGAACGTGGAGCAGCCACTGTTGGTGGGAAGTTGGTTAGGTAGGATACAGACGGGAATTTAATATATCTGTAAGTATATCTGTAAGCAACGATAGATCATTGCTAACGAAAAACCGATTCAAAGAGGAGTTCAGTTGATAGTATTGCTTTATCAACAATATATATATACCATATTATGGTAAAATGATTACAATAATGCGTGTTTCCATGATAACAATGATTATTTAAAAACAATTTTAAAATAATAAAAACATAATAATAATAAAAAATAAATAAAAATGGTTGCCAATGACAACCTTATTTTTAATCTTTCAAATCTTTTTTAACCAAAATAACCAGTTTTTCCTCATTATCTCGAATATTAATGAGAATTTCAAACGATTCTGAGCAGAGTTCGGCTATACATTTTTTGAAAGGCCGTAATATTTACGATTTTAAAATAATACATTTCATAAATTTTCTTGTTTTTCCCATTTTTTTTTATGAAAACCCCTCGGAAAATAAAAAAATGACCTCCAAGATATCAAGTGTAGCACTTTTTCTGAAAGGAAATTTTATCTACTTAGTACATTCAGGGAGTCATTTTTTGATTTTTCAAGCGGTTTTCATATTAATTGGGAAAAACAGGGAAAAAACTGGAAAATTTACGAACATGCTTTTATAATTTTTAATTTTTTTTTTTTTCTCAGTAATTCAAGTTAAAATTTTCGTAGCAACTTTAAATTTATAATGAAAACTTATATTATTTTTTTTCTAGACGTGGTCAAATTTTCAAAATATTTAATTTTGCGAATTTCTTACACGTAATTTTTATTCAATAAGTATTCTGTGGATAAAACTGTTAGACTTAACAGTAATGCATATAATTTAACTGGAGGTTCATTATAGGACGTATTTTGTGGTGAAAAAAAAAAAATTTGGTTTAATGTAATATTTTTTTTTATACGAATTTTAATATTAAATGTTTGCGAAAATCGTAAATATTACAGCCTTTCAAAACAAATACCTTTATAACCGAACATCGCTCCGAATCGTTTTTCGTTAGCAATGTAGTTTATCGTTACGTACAGATATAAATGTCATTGCCCTCTACAGATTAATATCCTACCTTCCCAACTTCTCACCAACAACAGTAGCCCACCCGTCGCGCGAAGCATGCCTTTTTTCTTTCTTTTTCTGTTTTTCTCAATTATTCTGAAAACCCCTTGAAAAATCAAAAAATGACCTTTCTATTACATCAACTATAGATAAAAAGTCATTTCGGAGAAGGTGCCACACTGGATTTTTTAGATAAAAAAAAAAACGACACATACATATCACAGAACCAATAGATCCTTCGTTCCGTTCCGAATCTAAAGCACACACATTATTATAGTGAAACTAAATTATTCCTAGCTGCGGTCAGAATCTAAAATGGCGTACACTCATTACTCTTATTCAAATATCGTCTGTCCATTATTATATATTATAATATTATATCGATGTGAATAATACAATAGCCGCGTTTGTCTGTTAAATAGATCGGTTGAGTCATTTGTTTAATTTAATATCTAGACGGACATAATGCGTATATATACCTAAATACGAATATATTATTACGATGATAATAATATGATATTGTATAAACGAGGCAACGGCCCGGAAGTATCGATTTTGATATTTATATAAATATACACGTGTTTAAAAATAAAATTAATAAAATTGCGATATAATAATACGTAGGTTGAAATAAAAATTACACGATATTCGATAAAAAACACATTATATTGAAATTGATCGACTAAAAATAATAAAATCGATTATACTCGGTGAATCGGTAAATGCAAAAATGGCGCATGTTCAAATTTGTACGATTTACAAGAAAGACCAAAAATAATTAATACTTTTGAAAAAATTGAAAAACAAATTTCATGTTAATGACAAATAATTTTAGTTACTTATATAGTGTTATCATCTATGAGTTTCTAAGGTTATTTTATGAAATGTTCTACAACTCAATAAGTGCAACGTATAAGAAGTTTTTTCGTCTTTCTTGAAAAATGTTTAAATTTGAACGTATGCTGCCGTATTTGCTTTTAGCGTTAACGTTATACGAATAAAGATATTTTATAATATATGTAACAATATTTAGCCAGTGTAAAGTCCCAAACGTGTATTTTCGAAAATATTTTATAATTCTGGTATGATTATAATATTATAATATGTGAGAACACGAAAATGTATTTATTATTATTTTTTTTTTTGTTTTGGGAGTGAATATTATAGAATAGGTTGATAAACGATATATACGTGCGGGTTTCCTCTCTCCCCTGCAATCCCTAGGCGGACATTTTGGATACCTACCCTAAAAAAAAAAAAGAAAAAAGAAAAAACCCTCCACTTATACGCGCGGTATAGGTATTAAAATTACAACGGAAATTGCATTACTCGCACGCATGATGGTGTATACCCTACCTATAGGTTTTTGTGTTTTTAACATAATTGAAAAATAAAAAAAAAAAACCAAAGTAAATAATGAAATACGCTTTTTTTTAGTTACTTTAATATAATAGGTTTGCAGCAAATTATATTAGTTTTACACCGAAAAATAAATTAGGTATACTCGTATATATTTAAATTTGATAATTAGAATTAATATACAGGGTTTTCAGAATTTCATGTTACAGATAAATGTTCCACGAAATCCTTATTTTTTAAGAAAATGACTTATATTAAAATTTATTGGAATCATATATTCTAAAACTTTACAATGTTTTTATTTTGGGGGGGGGAGAGGGGGGGGGAAACCACTTTTCACTATCGATTTTCAAGTATAGCAACCTATATTAAAAATTTCATAAATATATGAAGTTTTTTGTTTAAATACATTTTGGTGTTGACATTTCTGTCAACCCATTGACGTAAGAGATAGTTATTAATAAATAATGAGTTTGTTGAAGATTTCAAATAATATATAAGATTGTGAAAACTGCAGTAAACATCACTCGAATTTTCACTTTTTAAAACACATAGAGTGCCACTTGTGAGATCCGAATGTTGGTCTTGTTTTTGATCAAAGTACCTCGGGGTTTTTGTTATAGGTTACTAGTAATCATTTTAGGAAAAATTTGTCCAAATGATTTAGAATTAAAAAAAAAAAAAAAAAATTTTAAAAAACTTATTCCATTACTATATACGAATACCAAAATAATGTGGGAATACTGTGGCGTTGTGGTATTCGATCCCGATGAAAAAATACCACTAAAATGTGACCGCATATTTCGGGAATCGTTTTTACAAGTTAAATTCAGACATTGTGTGACTTAAGACAAAATAAAGTAGGTATACCTATATGTCGAAAAACCCTCGACACTCAACGTTTTAATACGGCCTCCACGAGAATAGTATAATGTATATAATATACAAAAACACGTTACGAATGACGATAATCAGATAATGTTTACATCACTGAAACCGAATATATTGAATTTAAAAAAAAAAAAAAAAAAATTACACGTGATTATTGCCAAAAAATATTATACATATTTTATAATTTATTCTATAATACATAGTCGTATTTATTATAACCTACACCGGGGACGGCCATACGGTCGATCGCGAACGATTTCATTGTTGATCCCTCTCCGTTAGAAATTATTTTTGTACAATTAGCAGATAAATCACAATTACCGATGATTTTTATCTCGTTAGATCATTTGCTGTCAGTTTATCAAATAATACAACAGTTCAACAGTTTTTATGCTGCCGATTTTATTGCTGTCAGTTTATCAAATAATACAACAGTTCAACAGTTTTTATGCTGCCGATTTTATTTCTGGTATGTCAAGTTTGTAATACAGAGTCTTAAAATATACAAGCACGACGAAAAACATTATTTAACAATGCATTTTAGTTGTATTATTTGTACACGCGTACCTACGTTTATTACCAATACCTATTAGATTATAAGGCGATAATTATACGTGATTTTGTATGAAAGTATGTCCTCGAAGGTAAAATATTCTTAGTAGATATGTACCAAACAAAGTTGGACCGTTCCAGGCCTAGTGATGGGTATTTATCCGGTAAATAATTGTTTGTGTAAATACCCAGTAAATTGAGTAAATTAATTTTTATTACAAAAACCAATAAGTCATGGTTACCAAAATATTTTATTGTGATTGTTTTCTGACTATTCCGTGGTTTTTCCACGTTGAATTATCAGCTAGTAAATAAATAATATTTATAAAGTTTTTGTTAATTTCATTCATTTTGAATTCAATACTACTTTTAAGGAAAAAATGTAGTAACATGAAATTAATAATTAAGATTTTTATTCATAAGAACAACCATAACTTTTTTATAAAAACCTATGTACATTGTACAAACATAACACGTATAGGTATAGTGAGCTAAATTACCTATAAAACTTATTTATTATAATCAGTTTTTTTTTTTTTTATTGAAAAGTTATATGTCAAGACCAGAGTAAAGAAAAAATATTTACCCTGCAAATTTTGGATAGGTAAATAATGTACCCACCGATAAATATCCGAAATATTTGCCTACCCATCGGGCACACCGCTACCCTGAACTATACAATTTACCCATACAGCATTATCTATAGGTACGGCTTAATTTTAGTCGTAAACGTCGGTAGGCGAATAACGTATATCTTATAATATGAATGGCTATAGAAAATATCGTCGTAAAATTAAACACAAAAATGAAAGGAACACAATTCAGTGATAATAAGTACAATGCTGTTTATCGAAACGTTATTCGTTTGAAAATATATATAACATCGTTGACAATTATGACGGCGATAATTATTGACGAACAAAAAGTAAAGAAAAACTATCAATTTAATCCGAACGTCATATTATAATATTATAGTGTTTAATAAAATAAATAAACGCTCGTCAATATGTTATATTTATATTATATTGTATATTGTTGTAGGAGTGTATAGTAATTTTTTTTCCTTCTTTGTCTACGCGATAAAGTCCGCGTCGGACAAATTCAACAGCGACACATTCAAATCAATAATAAATATAATATAATAGCCGTGTACACAATGTAGATAACACTATTGAAAATGTATAATATTCTGTTCGATCTGACCTTTGAATACGAGTATTATATCATATCATAATAACATTATAAAAATTATTAACGCTGATCGGATAGAAATAATGTTATTATCATAATGTGTATAAGCCATGCGCGCGTTAAAAAATTGTAAATTAATAATGAATATACACAGATTTTGTTTTTTCCCGTTCGATCGGCGAACTCGTAATAATAATTTTATATAATATTATCTACGACGGGGGAAAAAAAACCGTATAATAACGACTGTAACATATATAACGAAATATAATAAAATGACCTTTTAGAACAAAAAAAAAAAAAAAGTAAAAATATATATATCGATAAATATAACGCTATAATACCGTTCTGCAGTGTTATATACGGTACAAAGTTGAACATGCGGTATAAAATGTTTTGAATTTTTTTTATTTTAAGCACCATAACATACCAACGAAAAATTTTTTCGCGATTTATGAGAAAACTCGCGTGCCTATGTAAGGATTATGCAACTCGTGCGTATAAACGGGACGGTGTTTCTAATTCAATGGCCGATCCAAACTGCGGGATAATTTTCGGGTATACTGTACAAGACCACGGTGTCCCTAAGGAGAAAGTCGAGAGGACCCGAAAGTTGGAGGACGTCTTTCACAATGCTCCATTTGACGGAATCAAGCGCATAAGGAATCTATACAATATTTACTCTGTTTATTATAATATACGGTTCATTATCCTCTCAGTTGTTTAATTCGTATAAATGTAAATTTAAAATTACGTTTGTACCTAAATAGAGTCGATTGTACAGTTCATTGACGTGCGTGGATAAATAATACAAGCGACGGTAGGGGTAGCCGATTCAAAAATATACAGCGATGATCCATTTATCACGACTTAGCGGTTTTCCAGAAGAATTTTCAGCGTTTTTGATTTCGGATTTTTATTCTCAACCATTATCGTATGAAATCGTTCATAAAAGCTTTATTTAGTAACATTTTAAATTTTAAATTTGTTTACATTAAATGAGTATATACGATACGCTTTTGATTTTCGAATAGGAATCCCGTTTTCAAACAGGTTCAAGTAGAAATATTGTTTTCCCAAATAAATCTTGATATGCAGAACACTTTATCGGTTTACCGTTTATGAATTATAAGCGGGTTAAAAATTATGACCGGACGAGCGGGGAAAGCTTATAATAAGCTTCATAGGTATCAATTTTCAATGAAAATTCGTTAAAAATGATTGAAAAAGCACAAATCAAATTCACTGTTTCGTGATTACCAACTCTGTACATTTATTATTTTTTTTTTTTTAGATCCATCCTATTGTCTGTACAACGCACAATAAGATATTATTATATATACTATATTATTGTTTTATGTTTCGACCATATAAACTAGTGTATATGGTCGAAGGTTTTATGATATTATAGAGTTCGAGTATTTGAGACTCTCGTACTAAGCAATAATAAAAGATTAGATAACTAAAATATTTTTGTAATATATCGATTTGTCTACAAAATAAAGTGCATATGTAATGTATACTCGTATAGGCCTATGCATATAATGTACATCGTGATTCGATATTATTTTCACTCGTAAACTTTCAATATCCTTGGCTGCCAATTTTACCATCACAATTTTATTTGATAAAATTATCGTTTACGAGAGACGCGTAAAAAAACACGCGTTTTATTTTTATTATATAGGAAGGCTGTGCTAGAGGAAAATAAAAAGTTTGAGAACTGCTGGTAAACGAAGTATACAATAATAATATACAATTACAAGTCAAACGTATTTAACTCAATAACTTTATCGAATCTATAATAATATAATGTTTGGAATTGTTTTTATTCTTAGGCTTTTATATCCGTCGTGACTCGTGTTGCAGGCTCGCGAAGGTCTTCGCTATTATTTGTTGGCCATCCCCATATATCGTATCGCATGCCATAAACAAAATGATATTGTTGCATTATGAAATGAATTTGACAAAAGCGTGATCAATGTACAATCCTACGGTTAATATAAATGCATAATATTCTGACAATTCAGTGTTTGAATTGGAAACAAATTAGATGAAGCGGATGAAAAAATGTACGTTCCTAAAGATTTGACACGTGTCTTTATGTTGATATATTACGTCCGTTGTGAACAATTAGAGAAGGCACGTTAAAAAGTTAAAAAAAAAATCTTTACTTCTCCCCCCCCCTCTTCGATTTAAATACTGGGTAATAAGTTTAAGAATTCGTAATTTTGGCTCCTTTTTTACATTCGTTATACGAATTTCAGGTAAAATAGTAATTACGATTTCACCAAATTGCGCCAATACCCAGGTAGGGAGTTTATATTCTTTCCCGATCTTTTCACTCCATTGGCAATTGGTAATTAAATCTTGAAAAACGTAAATCTTTCAAACGTGTAACAAATAAAATGAAACGCTTAATTTATTGAATAAAAATTGTGTTTTTCGGATCTGGATTTTAAATCGCCGTTTTATCGAGTTCGAACTATATATATAATTTTTTACGATTTATTCTTGTTTATTTATTTTATTATAAATCTCCTCTCAACGTTTGGGAATTCCTGGGCATGCCTCTGCGCGTATCTCAACTATTCCTAATCCAATACATTGTTGAAAGGGAAACGGAACATTTTTCGACTGAAAAAAAAAATTCACCACGATAATTCTTTTTTTAAGTCACCTTATAACTTCTTTTTTTTCCCCCGAATAATCGGCGGCGTGATTTCAACCGCGTATAGTGTATTAGTCATCATTCGCGTATTTAAATTCGTTTTGTGAGTACATAATATTATAATATAGCCGGCGATCTTACTTTCATATATATTATGAATTATGATGGTTCGAGACCTAATAGTGATGTGTATAGCTAATTTGCCTAATTATTATACTCGGCAAGAGTGTTTGGATATTACGCATGTAATTTAAAGGATGAAAAAAAAAATACCCGAAGAGAATTACTATACATTGTAATACATACACGCGTAAAAAATGTATAATCTTGCCCGTGGCTTGTGTGAAAATTTGCGTATTAAAAAAAATTAAAAAAAAGTGCTAATGACGCCACTGCTCAAAATTGTCAGGAAGTATTACTGATGATGTATATGTTACAAATAAACGACCTTGTGGAAAACTCGTAAAAATTAATATTTTTTTTTTTTTAACACACATACGTACATTTATTTCGTACACTGAACCTATATGGTAATATTTTGGTCTACGGTTATGTAATAATATAATGAACACGACAAATTATAATGTGCCGAATAGACTCGATTCTCAATTTTCGTCGCAAACGTCCTAACTACGGCAGTATTTTCCAGAGAGTAGTTGGCTATAATCAATAGTTAGTACACCGGATTCCAGAATACCACGAGTTTCCCAACGATTACCAAAATGTCCTATAAGATTACACCAAAGATTTCCTGCGTGAGATTATCAAACATTTGTACACCGATTTTCGTAAGTGATTTACCCTCTGGTATTTCAGATGGAGCCCCGATAGAGTTAAGACCTTTTCATCGGCGCGGCTATTTCGTTGTATTTTTTATCAGCATTTTCATGGTAGAAAAAGTTATATTATTTTTGAGTCAACGTGCTTATAAACGATGAGTTATTGTTTGTTTTAATTGGAAATATTATATACACAGTCATATTTTTGGATTTACTACAATAAAACAATTGCAAGTTAAGCCATCGATTTGGTTTTTTGGTTGCAGTTCGGTTAGAAATAATCGTAGAGGCCTAACATTCTGACCGAATATTTATATTGTGTTAGAAAGTGTATTTCTAGTCTCGGTTTTATATACGGATAAAATTGTTTTGGCCCATAGCAAAAATGGTCGACAATTTAACACGAGGACATTTAAATTGTATTCAATGGTAAAAAAAAATTGAGCGTATGTAATAATAATTTTTTTTAGTAAGAGTTAAAAATAAAATTATTATGAAAACCGTAAAGATTCAATGGTTTTTTTAAGTTTATATGTAATTATATGTATTAACATTGTTGACTACCTAAAATGGCGTATATAAAAAAAAATGATCAAGTTCAAAATGATTATTAATGGAAATTGAAGACCTTGGAGCTACAACTAGATTTGAAACTATCTAGGAACAATAAAAACCATTTTTATTTTTTCGGATTCATCTGATCGCACATTTTATACTGTATTGTATCTATCTGATTGTCGTGAAAAACAAATGTCCAAACAAGAAAACCATTTGGTTACTAGAAACTGTATACTTAGAAAGTTACTTACCATTGGAAACTGTATACCTGTACAAAGTGATCAATTTATCGTGATCTTCTAGAAGGATTTTCAATAAATGAGATTTCTGTTCATTATTTTTTTCAATCATTACGTATACATCGTAAAGTGAATATTTTAAACTTTATTTGAACACTGTATTTTTGATTTTTTTACCCCTACTCCTTATACCTTAAATGAGTAAGTATAGTATACCAATACACTTTCTTACACCCTATTTATAGTGGTGGGGAGGGGAGGGGTAGAAAAACAGCATAATCAATATTCCGTATTAAAGTTATTGCGACTTTTATGTTTCCTCGCTAAATATTATAATTTAATATTTTCGCACAATTTGATAAACGCGATAACTTACGACACACATCCTCTGCAGCTATCACGATGTCTACACAATTTAATTTTGTCACGTAATAATGTTATTGCTAATATATTGTTATTAATTTTTAAAATGATGTATGCTTTCCTTATGCATTATTATTATGTTTTATTATCAAGGTGTTTATATTGTGATGACTAATCACTTAATTATGTACGATGCAATCAATTATCTTTGTGGCGTCTCTACAAGACTCTGTACTATTTTGTCGATTGTGTGCAGGGGGTAATATACCTACGCGGCTGTGACGCTTCTATTCGCACTCCCGTAATAATTTTTAATGCCTGTTGTTATCAGTCAGGCACTGAAACTAAAATTATATCAGTCGCCGAAAACACGTTCAAAGAACGACGGGTATACATTCGGAGATAGCTATTGACGGTTCGATGATGATCGAAAAACACAGAAATCAAATTCGCTGGAAATTTTCCGAGAAAATATCTGTAATATAACATCGGATTCGTGCGATTTTTACGTTCAAATATAAACTTTTTTTTTTTCGTTTATAATATAATATGCTGTCGAAAAGTACGTTTTCGCAAGAATAGTACAGAATACCTAATCACGGTTGTCGAACCAAGGTCTTTGATTATGAATTTAGCGGGAGTAAAACGTTTAACGCGTACGCGTGAGTCATGTACGCGATACCTCGTAAAAAAAAAATGAAAAAAAAAATATATCAAAACGCGTACCCAAGTTTAATAATATTAATACTTATATAAGTATTGATAATATTATGGTTAAAATAAACACGAGTGTAAATAGAGAAAACGACAAACAAAACGGTGGGAAGTAACGATACACAAATTTGTTTCCTGTATGCATACGAAACGATAAATCATTGCTGAAATACGACTCTTCGCGGGGTTCGGTTAAACGTACACGTTTTGAAATGCCTCGATTTTTTACGGTTTCCGTCAAAATTTGGACTTAAAAAGCTTATGAAAAATACATTACTACATTACGTCCAACTTTTTTTTTTTTTAAAAATCAAATGCAACTTATGATGAACCTTTTGTTAAATCTTCAACTTTTCAATTGACCGATACAATAATAGTATTCATCACCGTGAAATAAAATGCCCAAAAATCACCAGACTATTAATTTTTATTACGTCCAGAAAAGGCTCATTAGAGTATAACGTGAAAATGTTAGGTTTTTACGATTATTTTTAATCGAATAACAACTAAACGGCAATAAAACTATATAAACGCTGTAAACTTTGTCGTTTTTTCTCTCTTATTATGAAGAATACTTACTAAATGGAAAATTAAAAACACTACTTTTTTTCATACTTAGTAAACTTTTTTTTATACGAACTTCACAAAGTAATCTTCACCCTAATCTTGTTCCGGTTTTTTTTTTTCGATTTTTCACTAGTGCTTAGAAAATCAAAAAAGTTATCTGTCCATTCACCAAAAAATCGAAATTCTAAAAAAAAAATTCCCTCGTTACTATTTGATCGAAGCAAGATTTCTGATAGGAAAATTGAACAAAAACTGATCGGTGTATTTACTCAGTAGTATTAGATTCTGAGCGAAGCGATGATGTTAATTTGTTTTAACTTTTTTTTTTATCTCTGAACAATTTTTCTTCCAGAAAACATGTTCAGATTTTCAAGTGTAGTAAGTACGATTATTTAAGTATTAACTCTCTTATAAACCACTTTTTAATATTCCAAGCATTTTTATAATAATTGGGGAAAAACGTAGGAAAGAAGGGAAAATATGCAAAATGTATTATCTTCAATTTTGTTGCAATTCAATTAAAGATTTTCGTAGAGTTGAAATTTCAACAAAAACATAAGTTTTATAATTGCCTTTTCTATACGCAGTGAAATTTTCAAAACAATTCAAAACATTTTTAATGTTTTAATAATTTTTAATTAAATAATTAATTTTAAAGATGAATTTAATGTAGTATTTTTTTTTTTGCAAGAGTTTTAATAGTATCGAATTTTAACGAAAATCGTAACTCTGTTCAGAATGTTTTTCGTTATCATCGTTGCGTTCTGATACACATTAAATTCCCCTCTATATCCCGCCTTCCCAACGTCAAATATACAAACAATGTCCCGCCTGTCGTGCAAAGTATGTCGGTCTCCGTTTTTATTTTTTTTGTTTTTTTTTTTCGTGACGGTTTTTAAGCGTTTTAAGACGAAATTCCAACTGCGCTCGGAATCTAATAGTACTGCCGAACGAATCGTGTGTTATTAACGCGCCAAATAAATCAAAGGTCGTCGAAAATGTCGTGTATTACGTATATACGTTTACACGATTATCCGGCGAACGCCGTCGTTTGCGCGTTGTTTTCCGTCGCCGCGTAATAATTATTGCCATGCAACGCGGCGAACGATTTAGAAAGAAGAATAAACCCGTGTACAAAACACGAGTGATAATCAATTTTTTTTTTTTTCCATTTTCGTAAGCGTCGCGAGGAGTTTACGCGCGACCATATGGCGCGCGCGACGAGGTGAGTGTCGGAGGAAAGAGAAAAAAAAACCATCTTTATCAGAAGAAAAAAAAAAAATTAAACACAAAACATCTCGTCCGTCCGTCGTTCGTCGGAAAGCGCACATAAGGCTACGATAGTATTCGTAAAAACCGGCGGCGGCGGCGGCGGCGACGGCGGAGGGGAAGCGATTGTGCCGTTCAAGGGGGACTGCTCTGCGGTCGTCGAGCGGACAGAGCGGTGCGCGCGCGCGCGTTCGACTTGAAACACTCTCCGGTGCGGTGCATCCAACCGGTTTTCCGACGTCGGCGGGACGGCCGCGACGGCAGTGCCGCGCGACCGTTTGGCACCGATTACATCACGCGCGCGCACGTTCGACACGGGACGACTGTTTTCCCGAGCGTTCCGAGAGAACTGCGGATTGCCGAAAAAAAATTTGCCCGTATTTCGGGAAAACGCGCGCGCGTCGAAAGTTTAGACTGCCGCCGCCGACCGGTTCTGATATCGTTAAAAGAAACCACGTAACGACTCTACGTTGTTATTATGGAGGTCACGGCGGCGGCAGCCGGTTTGGGAACCAATGGACCGGCGGACGCCGTGCCGCGTCCTTGAAACAAAGCAATAATAATAAAAAAAAAAAATGCAAACAATTTACTCGCGAGCTTCGGACCGAATTCCGCCGTCGTCGACGAGTCTTGCGGACGTTCATCTTCCGCCGCGGACGTCACGATCACTCCCCTGTGCTTGTCCGGCCGTCCCGTAAACACCGACATTTTCCTGCGGGACACAATAATAATATTATAATGACATTAATATTAGACAGAGGGCCGTTTTAGTTGTTTTTTTTTCATATATTTTTAATATCTAGCCGTTCTATGTACCGTAATAACACGTTGGTCCGGCAGAACACCGATTGTTGTCTGGAAATCATATAGGTATACAGAAAAGCCGTCCGGCGGCGGCGTCTGCTCTGTGCCGTGCGCGAGTCTGTGCACGTTTTAACCTGTTGCCCGCGTGCAAAAAGGGACGAGACGGCGGCGGCGGCGGCGGCGGCAGCGGAGGACGACGATCAGGAAGACGGAACCCGAGCAGAAAGAGCGAGAGAGCGAGACGGCGTGACAGCGACAGAATGAGAACGGGCCTCGCCGTAGTAGTGCGACCGAGAGAGTCGGAACGTATACGTGAGCGTTTACGTAAAAAAAAAAAAAGGGAAAGAATGTGCCGGGTAGTCGTACGGCGCGCGTGTAGAGTGGGGACGGCCGGCGGAACGGTAGGTTCGCGGCGGCGGTTGCCGGTTGCAACAGCGCCGCCGACTGGTCGATAAAGCTGAGAAATTTGTGGGCGCTGACAGTGCGGCCCGCCGGAGCAGAGCACAGTCGACTGGTGTGCGCCCGTGTGTACGTAGCGTTTCGTATGTGTGCGTCCGTGTTTTTCCGTTCGTAGCGTAGAATCTGGCCGGCCGCCGCCGCCGCCGCCGCCGTTGCGTTAGTGTTTGTGTGTGTGTGTGTGTGTGTGTGTGTGTGTGTGTGTGTGTTGTGTGCTGCGTGTGTGCGCGAGAGCGCCGGTGTAGTACAGTGTGTACTGTGCGTGCGTCAGTGTGTGCGTTATCCGCCTCCGGTAATTCGACTCTGCCGCCGACTACTCGACTCAGTCTATTCAATAATATTGTTGTTGTCGCACACACGCCGCGTCGCGTATCGCGGTCCGAACAAACTATTTTTTTTTTTATCAATAAGTTAACCACAATAACAATACTACGTACCGCGAATCGTATTTTTAATTTTCTACCGCTGTACCGTGCGCGCGTTCGTTCTCCCCTCGGCCCGGCACCGCCGCATTTCAGACAATATGGTTTACGACGACGACCGCGGACGGGGAAAGTGAGCAGCCGACGACGATGCGGTTCTCGTGTGTTGTTGTCGTAGTCAACAGCAGCAGCAGCGGCAGCTGCCGCCGCCGCCGCCGGTAATCGATTTCGCCGAGCGAACCTGATAAGAATATCAATATTGTAACGGGAACCCGGTCGCGTCGTGATCGTCCCATCGGCCGATCGGTTCGTATAACACGCGTACGCGATGCTGCCGGACGCAGCTGCGCCCCCGACAGTATCAGCCCGGGGCTTTTGAGTTTCGCGTCGCGACGCGCCGGCCCGGCCGACGTCGAGTGCGTTGGGTTTTCGTCGGTCCCGTGACATTCCGCCGTTTCGCTCAACAGCCGTATCGCCCGGAGACGCAATGCCCTGACACCGCGGACCGGCCATGCCGTTTTCGCCGTTCTCCAGACACAAGGTACGTAAACAAAACGCCGTAGGTGTTATCACGGTACGCGAACGGGCGCCGGATCGCCCGATTTCGGGCACCGGGCATGCGGATGTTGGTGAGCCCCGTTGGCAGTGCCCCCCCCCCCCCCCCTTCACTCACCCCCTCCTTCCCGTCCCGTCGCCGTGCGCAGAGAGAAAGGTTCCGCGCGTACCGCTCTTAACCATTAGGTGCTGTACCTGACCAATATCACGGGTAGGTATACACAATGCACGAACGCCGTGTAACCGGTGGCGCGGCGGTATCGACCCGGTCTCTCCGTTGTGAAATGATTAGACCGTTGTTAATCGGGTTAATTAGTAATGTCGGGTTATTGGCTAATTCGTCACGTATACGATCGGGCATATTGTCTTATAGGTATTGTATCGCTGTCCGTGTTACGTCCGTCTGCCTACCGCGGCGGGCCGTGTTCGATTGGAATCCGCGCGGATAAGTAATTGGTAATTGGGCAAATGCGCCCGGCCGTGGTTTGAAACGAGCCGATACGAACGGACCGGTAGGTACTCGCTGGCTCGTCATTGGTGATCTTTATTTTAACAATTATGCCCAATAGTTTTATGAAAGTAATGGGTTGCCCATTGATCCGGTCGCGTTTTCACTTTGAGGTTTTCGATTGAACAGATAGAATATGGGAAGTTGCTAACTAGTTATCTAATTATTTATTCGATTGACTTTTTTTTTTTTTTTTTTCTCGAAAATTTCTCTTCGGGCGTTGTTGACTCGAAATTAATTAGTAATCACCAAGGTGAATTACCCCTTGAATTACCCAGCCACCCTGTTTACTTTTCTCGGATTCAAATGTCTTCATTATTTCTTACAAATACGCCCATTGTGGGTTTTTATAAATTATTTGATGTGCACACATTTCAAATTCTTAGGATTAATTACACTTGTCGAATATTTTTAATCTAGTTAGATACTCCTGGGGTCTTTGATGAGTCACGACTTATATTGGAGTAATTATTTAACACAACTACGGACACAGTCCATCACTACCCGAACGTATGTTTACTCACAGTGTACATATTATTGGTGCCCGCCTGCATTCCTATTTTACATTAATCCATACCCAGTTTATTTAAATGCTCTAAATGGGATAAAGTTGAATAATATAATGAACGGATAAAGTACCAAGATAATTCCCCGGTAATTGATTAAATTAAATTATTGAAACTCATCTGGCAATCAAATTGTTAGGTACATCAGTTGTGCTAAGCCTTGCACGGTTATGAATTATTCTTTATAAATATTATGAAAGTCAGTAGAAATGTATCTTGTAACTAAATATAATTTTAATTCCTATCATTTTATCGTCAGATTATAATATTATTTCTGATACTATTGTTTGTAATTAAATCTATTTGTCTTTGGATTTACTTTGAACATTATGTATATAGGTACTTAAATAGCAAATATTTAGGTAATAGGAGAAGTCTAATTTACTGACCAAGCTAAATTACCTCAACCCGAGCTTCTGGTTCCCTAACGGCTGAAATTTGAAATACTCTTCCATTGGTACCTAATCGACGTTTCATCCTAAAATCAAATTTCCACCACAATCACCCCTACCCCCATCAACCAAAGAATGTCGTTTCCCTTTACCCTAAAGTCTTTTTGTTCACCAACTGAACAAAATTTGGAAGACACATCTGTTAGTACCTAACCAACTATTGTTTTTGATTCAAACTGATAGTTAAAGAATTTGACACTATTGTAAAACCATATTATTGGGTCTTCAAACGTAAGTTTAAATAGGTACCTTATATCCGCTTTGTTATTATAGTTTATAATAAATATTTACAAAATTAAGTATTGTTCTGTTTATTTGACAGTTGGTTTTAATCGAGGTTTAAGTCTAGTCGGTAAAATCCTAGTCAATAAATTAAGTTCCTATATATTATCACACAAATAAAATACTAAGAAATTCTCATAAAAAATTTGCTCTGGATTTATTGGTGTTATTCACAGTTGTTCATTGACTGGGAGTCTGAATATAGGTAATATCTCAGATGCCTGCATAAGCATATAATTATCAGGAAATAAACAAAGTAAATATACAGTTAAGTTACCTAATCTCATCTAGATACAGGTAAATTACTTACATATTTTATTGAATAAGAACACTTACAAATACCTACCTAATCTTAGTTTTCCTTTCATTATTATTATTATTATTCGTGCTATGTTGTTTAAATATAATTTTATAGGTAAATTGATAAGCTTTTAAGAGATATTTTTTTTTATTTACACTGATTTCTATATTCCTAGGTTAGGATTATATTATATTCAGAATTATATTTCTACTTATATTACATTTAATTTATTTAATATAGTATAGGTATTTTCCTGGTTAGTTTGTGCCATAAGGAAATCTATAATGATAATAACTGGGTAGGTACCTTGTTATTTACATATCCAATATTATTTTATTGCACTGTATAGATTAAATAAATAGTGATGAAATACAAATGTCTTGTGTGCCGTGATGCGAACATCATATTTTTGTTATTTGTGTTACCGAGTGTATTGGCCAGCAGCTCGGCCAGCAGGTAAATATAATTTACACACCTTATATTAGTCATTGTGACATATTACTCACTTTATTATTTGCTGTATCATTTGAACTCTGCAAAAATTACTAAATTATGTTATCTAAAAACTTTTGAGAATTATGATTTAATATAAACACTTGATGAATAATTGATTTTTATTTAGTATCTACCTAATAAACTGATTCTGTTCTACTTAAAGGTTCTAAATCAATTTAAAAAAAAAAAAACATTGAATAAGTTATGTTAGACTATGACCAATATTCAATGGAACAGACAATGTGTTTTAATTGGAGTTTTAATGTTGGATGTTTTCAATAAACAATTATAGAACTTTACTTAGAATTTGATGCAAACCAAGAATTCTCATAATTATTTTCAAGATTATTATCATGTAATTATTGAGAATTAAATAAATTTGAAAAAGTTAGGTAAGTACTAAAAATTAAGCATGTACTTTGCCTAAGATTTGTTGAAATGTATACACTATACAGAAAACTATTTATAAGTAGATAAAAGTTAATTAGATAATATTGTCTACAGATATTGGTTATTATTAAAATTTGTTTTATTGTGTGTCACTGTTACATCTATACACTGATTGTGTATTGAGATTAAGATGAATTTAAACATGACCACTGGTTAGTAATGGACATTTATCGGTCTAATGCAATGTAGATTTTATGCGAGTATTATGTACCTCGGTACATAATTTTCGATATCTCGATTCAAATTGACTTCCTCATCTTGTTTGATTAATTAGAACTCTGTGTAGTTTGTTTTTAGAAGACAGTCTATTTTAGAGCAAGTAATAACAATTGGATTGTTAATTTTCCCGTTTATTTTTTAATCATAGGTAGGTACCATGTTTATATTATTTTTGTAATGATTAGTGATAGGCACGTGTAGTATTTATTTAGTTTTTGTTTTACATCCGTGTATAAGATAACAAAATTAAAGAAATAATTTTAAATTTATATTATAAATATGTATATTGTGTATGGTATATAGTATCTGATGTAGTAAGTGTATAGTATATTTGTTAATTACATAATACCAGATGTAATACTATAGGTATACTGAAATATGTTTAAAACGATATTTTGCTTGATGGGTGAAGCTGGTGTAGGTGATTAAAACCTGTTTTCATACAAATTGATCAAATTGTTACATTTCAAAGTTGTAACGATTAATTAGGTGCAATAAAAATAAATGTATTATTACGTTTGTATACCTAGAGAGATTAGATAAATTTATTTATGTAAAAAAAAAAAAAAAAATTATAATAAATTTATATTTACCTACCTATTTATAATTTCTTTATTTTTTCTTCTTCTTTGGTTTAACCGACAGCAGTGGGGATCTGTTTTTACAATACTTACTCACTGCTGTAAAACTAGTATTAATCTAGTCTCTATAGGTATGTCTGTTATTTTAACCGGGTTTAATTAATCGAGTTTAATCAAAAAAATCAAAGCATATGGTTAATTAAGTTGGGTTTAAAAAATTTAATGCGGTGAATAGAGTATCGTTTTAAAATATAAATGCAGTAAATTTAGTCACATATAAACATGAAATACTACATTTTTTTTTTTTAAATTAGAGTAAAAAGTTGATTGATCGGGTATTTTGTTTAATAAGAATTGTGTCTAACAAAGTTAGTATACTAATTTACTTTTTGTGGCTCAGAACGTGTAATAGTTTAAATTGTCTACTTAAACTAATATGTTTGACAGCTTTTAATATTAGACTATTACTCGTTTTTTGATAAAGTTTTTCGTCAGGTGGTTATAATCGTGGTAAATATTAACAACATTGTTAAAATTATTAATTTTCAAATAGCATTTAAACATATTCAAGTTGTTACCCCGGTTGTTAACTTAAAGTCAAACGCCATTCGTTTCATTTTTTTTCTTAAATTTGTAACCATTAAAAATAAAAATTGTTTTTGTTGCGTTTGCTTTTCATCAAATTTATTGGAAAGTTGGTTACTCGTATTATGTAAAAACTAAGCAATAGATAATGCATATAACTATATCTAATGCTTATGGATAAATATACTATACACTGCGCTATGCGCATAGCGCAGTGATAACCCGGAGACTTGATTCACCCCATTCATTTTTAGTTCTGGGACTCGATTTACCACAATTGGAGAACGAAAAATTAAATTTACCTCCGTGCGTTGCGACGGACCAAAAAGAGTCATTAAGAATATTTTGAGTGAGTGTTATCAAATTACACTGTGAAATTATTTATTATTATTGCTATAAATGCATAGGTACTAGAGTTATGTTTATATTTAATCTATTTCTATGACTAATAATATTATTTATCCGAAAGTAAATACTCAAAATACATTTAAATTTTTTTCAATTGCAAACAAATGAAAG